CATTGTTGTAGTGTAAATCAAACCATTGGTTCTCTAATTGGAATTGCTTCAGATTTTGTCATCCTGGGAATTTTATTATTAAATACCTTGAAATTATATAAATCTAGTAAAAACAAGGACTTTCTAAAATGAGTCCAAATAAAGGTGCTGTTTTCAAAAAAGGCCAGTCGAGATATTATCAAATTAGCCCAAATTGTCTACTGAAGAGGAGTCAATACAGTTTCAGAGAATATAACTGATAACACAACAATGAGCATTCAAAGTCATGTTGTTACTAGTTTTGTTTACAATGATTTCTTATAATGGAATCATACAAACAAAAATCTGCAAAATTTCAATTAAATGAGTTATTTCAACGTTTCTTTTTTATGACATAGAAGACTATCATTTGTTTTTGTCAGAATCGTTGTCTAATTTTGCATCACACTTGGAATATGGCAGGAGACGTCATTAAAGTTTTCTGAACAGTCGATTGTGATTTTCTTTGAAAATGTGAGGTGACAATTGGGGAATCAATTTTCAAATACATTGTACAACATTTATAGTTTTCTCTAAAAAAGAGCATATTTATTCTGGGAGAACATGATTTATGTATTAGTTGTAATTCGTTTTGAACTAGCTTTCATTAATTGTAAGTACTCTGTTTCTATTGTTTTAATGCTAGTTGTTTTTGTGCTTCATACAAATCTATTGAATTAAGTGATTTGCAACCAATTCTTACAGTTAATGTTAGATACACCAAATGGGTGTATCTAATTTACACTAAGATATTATTGTCATTGCAGAATGATAGTTTTCAATAATTTAGGAGGGGGTCTTTTAGCAATTTGACCATATGTTATTTAAAAGCATGATAAATGGAGGGCATCCAATTTCATTAAACGACATCTTGGTGCAAGTTCTATGTTGTGCTGTTACACTACTATCCCAGGGTAGGGAAGGTTTGAGCATTCACAAACATGTATAACCCTGCCATATTCTTTATGTGCCTGTAATTCAGTAGTTGACCTTGGTTCATCTTTATCCTATTTTTTTTTCGTACATTGTATTGTTATATATTAGGCTGTAGGTTTTCTACCTTGAATTGTTTCACATTTTCATGTCAGGGCCTTTTATAGCTGACTATATAGTATGGGTTTTTCTCATTGCTGAAGGATGGACAGTAACATATAATTGCTTGTATCACGTCTTCTAATTGGCAATCATACCACATCTCCTTTTTTTTATATGGTAGCACATGATTCATATGCATTTATTTCAAAATGCACAATGAAAGCTTACTTATATGAAAATATTAGAAAAATAACAATACAAAACCTTGGAAAACTGCTCAATAAAGCCTAAAAGATCAGCAAAATTAACTTATTTTGGCATGTGATACACATATATTCAATCAAGTTTTGAATCAATCACAGAATCTAATTAAACCCATTTTGACTGTGTTGTTGCATTAAATGCAATTATTTTAAAAGTTGTCAGATATTCCAACGAAATATCCAAAATTCTCAATTTTGAACCTCATTTTTCTCAAAAACAAGCACAGTAGCCTATATATTTTAATTAAGGATTTTTGAAAGATCTCATCTCAATCTACAACATATCTCAAAATCATAAATATGACAATAGAATGGGAAGCTATCAACTCCTCCTAATCAGCTAAAGGAAACAATGATTTTTTTTCTGTCTGACAAATATTTTGGTTATCATTATTTAAAGTTTAAAATTTTACCTGCAAAAGCTTTATCCATGCCTGTTAGTACAATACATCCTATATTTTTGTCAGCTTCAAATTCTTTCAGAACTTGTCCAACTTCACTCATTAAGCCATCACATAAAGCATTCAGTGCTTTTCTCCTATTCAACTGGATCAAACCAACATTTTTCTTTTCACCTTTCACATCTTTAATAATATACTCTAACTGTTGTCCTGAAATTAATAATAAAGGAGATGTGAGGTATATGTAAGTATTTACTTACTTAAAGATTTAACTAGAAATGCTAGTTGGATAACCACTGAGGAGGTTCATGATTGGGTAAAGGCACATGATCATGTGGTGGGGTAAAAACTAGTTATTTGAGATTTCAACCCCTGTCCCATGTGTTTAACCCATGAGTGATGGGTACTAAATGTCCTTAGGGATTAAAGGTGAAAAAAACCAAGATTCATGCTTTTAACATCCTTATTCTTCAAAAACCAATCCATAAAGTTTTCTTATGACCCTATGTTAATTTTATATCAATTACACCAAAATGTATCTACCAAAAGAAGTAAAGTAAGCAAATATCAATCTAGCAAAAAGATATAATTTAGAAGACAAAACTATGGACTTTTTTTTCAAAATAAGAATTCTAAAGCAATTAATATACATCTGGTCTGAATGTTTAACTGTACCTGCAGAAATCTTATCTAAGGGGATATCACACCCTAATTACAAGAGCCCCATAATTTAGATAGGATCCATGTTAACTTGTTGATCCTCTGAATAAACTAAAATTCTTAAAGGTTATCAATTAAACATTGTAGTAAAACCTTATATAGAATATAGTCTTTATTGATACTAAAACCAATTTCTTTTTTAATAAGAAAAACATAACTAAATATGCATTGATATACAGCTATGAACACTTATGGTCCTAAATGCTGTCAATACATATATCAAGGCTTGAACAAGGGCATGCTTTTCTCAGACTGTTTAAGATGTCTCTACACTACATGTTAGTCCTCTGGATGAAAAAGAATAAGGATAAGAAAAAGAATATTCATTGTTCCAATTAAGAGCCCTTGATGGGCAGCATACAACTAGGTTTTTTTTTAAAGACCTTGACTACCCATGAGGCTCTTGCACGGTGGGTGCATGACATTTATACACACAAAACATGTACAATACCCTATGATTTTGTAACAAAAAAAAAAAAAAATTTAACATTGAAATGAAATATTAAATGTTCAAAAAGTTATTGGATGTGTACAAATTGAAATTTTAGTCTGCAAAAAAATGGTTTATTTATTAGTTGGAATTAGCTTTGAACTAGCTTTCAGTAACTGTGAGTACTCATGAGATCCATACTTTGTGTGTTTTGTTTTTTTGTAAATTTTTTTTTGTACTTGATGCCGATCTGATGAGACAAGTCCTTTCCAACTACATGAACTAATTCTTAGTTTGTTCTTCTGATATGCTGTTATACCACTATCCAAGGTAAGAAGGAGGGTTAAGCATTCACAAACATGTTTAACTGCACAACATTTTTTATCTATTTCGATAGGTTTCCCAGTTGTTTACAGGCGCCAAATTTTAAAAAAAAATACAGGTAACCTTTCAAAATTATTGTACCATGAATTCATGCATTTCTTTAAGAGTTTACAGCATGTGTATTTGACATCTACTTCTGTCATCAATAATGAACTTGACAAATTTAAGCTAACAAGGAGTGAAAACTTGAAATTTCGGGATAGGCCTGAGTGATTGAACTAACAGAAATGAAAGTGAAAGTCTTTAGGTGTTGAAACATGTCCTAATTTGAAATTTTAATCTGCAAAAAAATGGTTTATTTATTAGTTGGAATTAGCTTTGAACAGCTTTCAGTAACTGTGAGTACTCATGAGATCTCACAAAACATGTTTAACCCCGCCGCATTTTTGCGCCTGTCCCAAGTCAGGAGCCTCTGGCCTTTGTTAGTCTTGTATGTTTTTTAATTTTAGTTCATTTATATGTTTTGGAGTTTAGTGTGACGTCCATTTTCATTGATCTAGTACACATTTTTGTTGAGGGGCCAGCTGAAGCCGCCTCCCTGTGCCGGTTATTCTCGCTGTGTTGAAGACCCATTGGTGGCCTTTGGCTGTTTTCTGCTCTTTGGTCGGGTTGTTGTCTCTTTGACACATTACCAATTTCCATTCTCAATTTTACCTAATTTGTTTAATCTAATGGAAATATGGTGCACAAAATGTGCCAGAGGGGAGTAGATGTACAATATTTAATTTTTGCTTTATATCATGATTGAATTTATGTTGAAATTCTGTAATATGAATGCTAAAATACAAGTATCACATACATTTAACATTATCAATGATCTGTGAAAATAAGGTCAAGGTCAGATGAAACCTGCCAGTTGGACATGCACACCTTACAATCATTCCATACACCTAGAAAAGTGATCCTATTGCTTATAGTATCTAAGATACGGCTTGACCAAGAAAACTCAATCTTGATCACTAATTCTTTAAATGAGGTTGAGTTTAGGTGAACCCTCTCTGACTGACATGTAGAATAGTTATTCTTTTACTTTTTCGCTTGACAAAAAAAAATCTTTTTTTTTCAAGCAGTCACTGAACTATGAAAATGAGATCAAGGACAATGGACAAATGACAGACAGAAACTTTGTAACATAAGGTACAAAATGGATATCTGCATACACGGTATGAAGCATCCAGGTCTTCTACTTTCTGAAAAAAAAAAAGTTTTATACACATAATTTATTCCATTGCTGCCACCGGATTATTATCCTGTGTATGGAATTCTGCGATGGAATTTAACACATAAAAAAAATGTTAAGAAAAAAGGGGGGTCCATGCTCCAAGCCTATGTGGTCCCCATCGCCTTTACCTCATAACCTATCTGGAAAGCTTAACATGCCTTCTCTTTTTTTTTATTCTTAAATAGAATCAGATTACCATGTTAATTTAGACTGTTAGTTATAAAAACTTTATGTTTATGAACTTTGTACCTATGCTTTTATTATCTCCCTTGGTGGATCCATCATTTATTTTTGGAATTTCGGCATGTTAAAAAAATACCAAAACAAAACAAAGTAACTAAATATTTAGATTATACCACTCGACATCAGCCTAGTAAAGGTGGCAGCATGACAGTTCTTTAACGCTGAAGAATTTCTGGAATTCAAAAGCAATCTTCTCAAACCATTTCCAAGGACTTCCATCTTGCTAACCTTGACCTTAATGTCAACAGGAAGTGCTTCTGATGTATAATGGGGGTGTGTTGTCTAAAGAAGAAAACACAGCTACACTATTGTTGGAATATTTGAAATGACCATGTATATGAACTGACACGAAAAAATATGAAAAAATGAATTTAGAACATGAAAATACACATGGGAACGGGCTGTTATACGCTGGATGGAACCAAGACCAAGGTTCGTCTGCAGCACCTTTTTCTTTCTCATTCCAAAACTGGCAAAAGTACTTACATCTAACCTTTATATAAAAATGCAAGTACAGGTTGATTTTATATATCTTTAATCTCCCCTGATTGGTTTGAGAAGAGTCTTCTTCCTCTCCTCCCCAACATAAAACATGGAATCCGCACTGGTATGTTTATGTTTTGTCTTTTGATCAATCCAACATGTCAGTGCCCTCAGGACTGATTCCTTTCTTTGTTTGTAGAATACTTTTCTTATATCCTACATAATTTTCTATACACATTAGAATACTTAAGTAAGAATTGCGTGACCTGGTCAAGCGAATAAAATATGGACACAAAATTTCGAACAGTGCTATATTTATATATCTGGTGGAAGAAATCAATGACAATAATCTAGATTGATAAAACGTACATTCATCTATTAAATCTCAAATACATTTTCCGAGGAGAATAAGAAGGGTAAGTTGGTATTTTACTTCAAATACTTCAGCTGTGTATGCAGACAGAATGTCTTTCATGTTTAAAGGAAAGATTTTGGAATTGTCTAGTTTGTATTACATGTATATAAGTTACTCCTTCTAAGGAGCACTAAATTCCAGTTTCTTCATTTGGTTGGTGAACTTATGTTTTGTTTTTTTTTATTTATATTTTTGTAGTTCTCCAAACTTTTCATTTCAATAAAGTTATGTAATTTCTTTTGAGAATGTTCAGGGTCACATAGTTGGAAAACATTCATTTTGGGGTTATTTGGGCAAGATAAAGGGCATCACACATATAAACAGAATCAGTAGATATTTTTCTTTCTATATATTGACATTAGAAGGCAATATGAACTTACCTTTATGATTTTTTATATAATTTCCAGGTGAGAGCATCATTCTTTTGATTTTTACAAAAAGATTTTGTTGTCGTCTGCAACATTCACCAAGTGCGCATGAAATATTTTGTCATGACAACATGAGGATTTGAGTGTGGTTTTTATTTATAGAAACATTTATAAATTATCATGCATAAATACGTTTTTAGAAGGCAAACATTGAAATCTTTAGTAATTGTGTCCAGTAGTAATTGCGTCCGGTGGGGCTATGTATTAATTTGGTGTCTATGCCATACAATACTTGTTTCAGATTAAAGCCATTGACAATTATTCTTTGCACTTGAATGAAGAAATTTAAAGGACATGAACGAGGAGAAAGGGGATTTTGAGTTTAATGACATTTTTCATGTTTTTAGGCAAGCAAATGAATCAATAAACTAATTAATGATTTTTCATTACATGTAACTGTAGCAGTGCTTTCCCTGAAGTACAGGCATTAAATATTCACATATAACCACCCAATATGTACATTAGCTGCACTAGCAGAGAACTCAGTTACTAGAGTGAGGCTTACTGTTCATGGGGTCCCTGGTTCTGTAGTCTACTATTCTGATTTACCTTAAAATCTTCATGATTTCTGAGTGAATTACTGACAATCCATGTAAATGAGTGGTAGATATATAGATGGATATTTAATGTATAGTAAGCAATCTCATGGATAAGAACTCTGTCTTTAACTGAGACATCATGTTTGATTTTTTATGCCCCTGCCACATTTGAGGGGGCATTAAGTGTTACCATTGTCCGTCTGTACGTCAGTCTGTCCATACGTCCCTAAAATTGGTTTCCATTCTCTAACTTTAGTTTGCCACAACCAAATGTTATGAAACTTATACAAAATGCCTATTACCATAAAACACAAATTAACTTTGAATTTGGGTGGCGTCACTTTTACCGTTCTAGAGTTATGCCCCTTTACAAATGGAAAAATTGCTGAATTTTTCGTTTCCATTCTGTTACTTAAGTTTGCCTCAACCAAATGTTATGAAACTTATACACAATTTTTATTACCACAAAACACAGATCAAGTTGGCGTTGGGTAGCGTCACTTTTACCGCTTTTGAGTTATGTCCCTTTATAACATTATATGCAAGCATGGGCATCATCTGTGTACCATGGACACATTCTCCATTTTTTTTATTAAAGAGCTAGCTTAGTCAAAAGATTCAGGATGTTTGATTGATTGGTGATCACAATCCAGCAGCAAATATTACATTGATATTCACGATAATAAAATGTTCATGTCATATAAATAGACCTGGCTTTGTACAAAACTAACTTTCTAAGTTTATTTGTTTTTAATGCACCAGCTATGGGGCACATTATTTTGACTCTGAGTTCTTTGCTCTAACACATAAATGTGCACATTTGTAAAAAGAATCTGAAAATACCAATTTTAAAGTGTTTGAAAGGATCCAATCCACAAACTCTTGCATCTGATGTTAGCATAATATCACTGAAGCAGTAATTCCAAGTAATTTAGAGTGTGTATTTTAGACTAGACACCATCTAATTAACCATTGAGGTGACCGCCGAAGAATGCCGATGGTCTGTGGCCCGATATAAACATAAATATAAATACACATTCAAGTACATGCAATCATATAATGAAGATTTTTTGTAGGTCTTTTTGATTTCATGTCATAGATTAAAAAAATATGTTAATCATTATTTTTACCTGTATAAGAACTTTTAAGAAGGATGTTGTTTTTGGTCCAATCAGTAAACAAAAAGGTTCTTCCCATAGGCTCCCTTGTTTCACTTTCAGTTTTGAAGGTCTTTTTAATAACTGAACATGCTTAGCACATGCAGAACCAATCTCCAGCTAAGGGGTAAAGTTGAAGGTAGCATTGATACAGATTCAAATTAAGTTGAATTAAGACTTGCAAGCCAATAATACACCAGCGATGTTTTTGAGCTTAATATGCCAGAATTGGATGCTTATAGCCAAACAGTATTTTGAAATTCTACTTTTTGTCTCACATGCGACAAAAGTTACAAAATTCGACACATAGGGATTACTATCCAGTGTCGGCTGCATAAAGCTTTATATTTTATAGGGAAGAAGTCCTGGATGCTTCATTCCTAGTATACAGATGCCTTATCTTACTAAATATCCATCTTACGTATGTCCATTGTCCTTGACCTCATTTTCATGGTTCAAGGACTTCTTAAAAAATGTTGAGCTTTTTTGTCGTGTGAATTTCTCACTTATTATGAGTAATATTATATTTATATTTGGTATATGGGTTCCCTGCAAGGTCTGCATGTCTGTCAGACAGAGTTCATCTGATCAATGATCAAGGTTAAAGTACATGATTAGGTCCTTTCTCAGATACTATAAGCAGTATAACTATATTTGGTGAATGGAATGATTGTAAGGTGTACATGTTATTCTGTCAGGTTTCATCTAAAACCTTTACCTCATTTTCATGGTTCAAAGGTCAATGTTAAGTTTTTATACGACCGCAAAAATTAAAAATTTGTTGGTTGTATATTGGTATGACGTTGGCGTCATCGTCGTCCGGCGTCGTCCTGCGTCGTCCGAAGACACATTGGTTTTCGCACTCTAACTTTAGTTTAAATGAATGGATCTCCATGAAATTTTACCATAAGGTTCAATACCACGAAAGGAAGGTTGGGATTAATTTTGGGGGTTATGGTTCCAGCAGTTAAGGAATTAGGGGCCAAAAAGGGGCCAAAAATAAGCATTTTTGTAACTTCCAGACAATAACTTGTGTGTAAGTGTATGGATCTCTCTGACATTGTACCACAAGGTTCCATATCACAAAGGGAAGGCTGTAATTGATTTGGGGGGTAATTGCCTCAAAATTTTAGGAATTAGGGGCCATAAAAGGGGCAAAAAACAAGCATTTTTCTAGTTTCATGACAATAACTTGTGTGTAAGTGTTTGGATATTTCTGAAATTGTACTACAAGGTTCCATATCACAAAGGGAAAGCTGGGATTGAGTTTGGGGGTAATTGCCCGAAACGTTTAGGAATTGGGGGCCAAAAAGGGGCCAAAAATAAGCATTTTTCTAGTTTCCAGACAATAACTTGTGTTCAAGTGTATGGATCTCTCTGAAATTGTACTGCAAGGTACCATACTACAAAGGGAAGGCTGGGATTGAGTTTGGGGGTGATGAATCATAAGGGGTTTCAAAAAATTTGGGGGGGGGGGATTTTTTTTTTTCTTTTTTTTCTTTTTTTCCTTTTTTTTTTCTTTTAAAATTTTCCATTTTAAGTTGGTTATTTCTGATTTATATTTAAAAGCAAATAATAATGATATGGTAGGAGATACACACGAAACAGGATGTGTAAATTATTATATAATAAGTATTGTGCAATAGCAAGAAATTTTCAATTGCACAGTATTGCACAATAGCAAGAAATCTTCAATTGCACAGTATTGCGCAATAGCAAGAAATCTTCAATTGCACAGTATTGCGCAATAGCAAGAAATATCCAATAGCACAATATTGCCCAATAGCAAGAAATTGTCAATTGTACAGTATTGCGCAATAGCAAGAAATATTCAATTGCACAGTATTGTGCAAAAGAAGATACTTCGTATAAATTGCTTATTTCTTGATCAATTTCAATGGGGTTTTATTCTTGAATTCTTGGGGTTCTTTAATATGCTGAATCTAACCGTGTATTAAGTTTTTGGATTTGGGCCCCGTTTTTAAATTGGTCCACATTGAGGTCCAAAGGGTCCAAAATTTAACTTTGTTTGATTTCATCAAAAATTGAATTATTGGGGTTCTTTGATATTCCGAATCTAACCGTGTATTTAGATTCTTAATTTTTGGTTCCGTTTTCAAATTGGTCTACATTAAGGTCCAAAGGGTCCAAAATTAAACTTAGTTTGTTTTTAACAAAAATTGAATTTTTAGGGTTCTTTGATATGCTGAATCTAAACATGTATTTAGATTTTTGATTATTGGCCCAGTTTTCAAGTTGGTCCAAATCGGGGTCAAAAGGGTCCAAAATTAAACTTTGTTTGATTTCAACAAAAATTGAATATATGGGGTTCTTTGATATGCTGAATCTAACCATGTATTTAGATTTTTGATTTTTGGGCCCCGTTATCAACTTTGTCCACATTGAGGTCAAAAGGGTCCAAAATTAAACTTTGTTTGATTTCATCAAAAATTGAATTCTTGGGGTTCTTTGATATGCTGAATCTAACCATGTATTTAGATTTTGGATATTGGACCATAATAGGTGAATGTCCAATTTAAAATTTTTAAGTTCTTAGACCACATTCATTCTGTGTCAGAAACCTATGCTGTGTCAAATATTTAATCACAATCCAAATTCAGAGCTGTATCAAGTTTGAATGTTGTGTCCATACTTGCCCCAACTGTTCAGGGTTCGACCTCTGCGGTCGTATCAAGCTGCGCCCTGCGGAGCATTTTATTTGTTTTGGTCTGTAATTAAGATACTAAAAGCAATAGGTCTACTATATTTGGTATATGGAATGATTATACTGTGCACATGTCTGTCTGGCAGGAATTATCTGTCCTTGACCTCATTTTTTATGGTTCATTGGTCAATGTTAAGTTTTTCTTGGTTAAATTTGGTTTGTTTCTCAGATACTACAAGCAATAGGTCAACTATATTTGTTGCACAGAATGATTGTAAAGTGTACATGTCTGTCTGGCAGGTTCATCTGACCTTGATCTCATTTGGTCTCTTTCTTAGATACTTTAAGCAAAAGGTCAACTATAGTTGGTGTATGGAATGATTATATGGAGTACATGTCTGTCTGGCAGGGTTTATCTGTCCTTGATTTCAATGTCATGGATCATTGATAATGTTAAGTTTATGTGATACTTGTAGTAAAACCTTTGATTTCTTCTTTATCATTAAGACCTTTTAAATAAACCAATCATTGTTAGTAAAGCAGGCGAGACATTTCAGTGTGTGCAGTCTTGTATAAATGTTTGAAACAAACAAAAATCATATTTTAAGTGCTTGTCTAAATCGTAGCTTGTCCCTTTAAGAAGACAAGTGGTTAAAACATTTGGAATACTAATTATGGTTTTAATCGGTGATCTCTATCTACAGGATGTTTTGCTTGTGGAATGGAAAATGGATTCAGAGTATATAATGCTGATCCGCTGAAAGAAAAAGAAAGACAAGGTATGTATCATGTAAAGTAATTCTAAACCATTTCCTGAACACAGAACTAAATTTATATACAATATAACAATAACTAGATGTGGTATTATTGCCAATGAGACAACTCTCCACAAGAGACCAAATGACATAAAAGTTAACCACTATAGGTCACCGTACAGCCTTCAACAATGAGCAAAACCCATACAGCATAGTCAGCTATAAAAGGCCCCAAAATGACAAATGTAAAACAATTCAAATGAGAAAACTAACTGCCTGATTTATGTACAAAATAATGAACGAAAAACAAATATAATATACAGCAACAAACAACAACAACTGAAATGCAGGCTTCTGACTTGGGACAGGCACATACAGAATGTGGTAGGGTTAAACTAGTTTGAAGGCACCAACTCTCCCCCTAAACTGGGTCAGTGGTGTAACAGTACAACATAAGAACAAACTTTAAAAAATTAGTTGAAAAAGGCTTAACTCATCAAGTCGATACAAAGCAGAAAGACATCTAATAAAAACACAGACCGGACGTTGCAGGATATTTATACATCCCCACAACAACAAAAAAACACTTAAGTACGGATCTGAGAGTACTCCCAGCTATTGACAGCTAGTTCAAAGCCAATAACAACTAATAAGAAAATAATGCATCTAAGACTATAAATATCAATCAGTACACATCCAACATCCAATGGATTTGGTGTAAAGACGTCATTAACAGTCAGAGAAAAACATGACCTTGTACAATGCCAAGATACAGGTATCGACAGATTGTAGAGCCATGAATGTGCATATGTATATAAAAATAATATTTAGTTTGATTTTAATTTACTGATAACAAAATCAATATTATATTTGATTTATTTAAAGTAAGTTCCTTTGGGTAAATTTCAGCAGTATATTTTGAAAATTCCTGATTATTTAACAAACAAAAAAATATCAAGATAACGGTTAGTGTTGTTGAATTTATTAATTAAATGCAATTTAGATGGGTCTTTACTGAGTTTGGTCATAAACTGTGATTCATAACAGTACAAGATCAAGTCTGCTATTAAAGGGGTGCAATTGGTGCCCATAGGAATACTTACAACCTGTCGATAAACCTTATTGCTGAAACGTACATAAATATTATCAAGGAAAAAATTAACAGCTTCAATCATCTCATCACACCTCCAGTAAGTATATTTAGCATATTTACCTTTCACATTAGAAGCATTATGTGATAAAAAAAAATTCATAAAATACTACTAAACTGTAAAGGAAAGAATTTGACAGATTTTCAGGAAAATGCATGTCTCAAACTGAATGAGATATAGTTTAGATTGTGCAGGTTGTTCTCACATTAGCATCTATACTCTTACAATTATAAACCATGTATTTATTTTCTCTCTTTTAGATTTCTCTGATGGAGGAATTAGACATGTAGAAATGCTTTTCAGATGTAATTACTTAGCTCTAGTAGGAGGAGGTAAAAATCCTAAGTATCCATGTACAAAAGGTATGTTATTTGAATATGCAGGGGGTTTTAATGCTCTTATTGATGAAAGAAGGATAAATTTTGTTCCATGTATTAGTGTGTCTGTCTTTTACAGTAATTAATCACTGATAATTTGTCTCTACAATCTTACAATAATCTTATAAAATACAACATATTTTCAAGCAACATTTCAATGTAAACATCTGTTGGTCACCGTATGGCATTCAACATTGAGCAAAACCAATACCATATATAATCAGCTATAAAAGGCCCCAACATGAAAAAATGTGAAAACAGTTTGAATAAGAAAACTAATGACCCTAATTTATAATAAAAAAGAAATGAAAAACACATATGACAGACATCAACCAACGACTAACCCCTGAATTGCAGGCTCCTGACTTGGGATAGGCACTTAATGAATGGGAAGGGGTTAAACATGAGAGTTCAACCCTCTACCTAACCTGAGACAGTGATGTAACAGCACAACATAATTATCTTTACATGTCATATTTAGTTCAATGCTTGCCCCCTAGTTTTAAAAAAAGGAGGGTTTGGGCCACACAAACATATTTAACCCTGTCACATTTTGTATGTGCCTGTCCCAAGTCAGGAACCTGTAATTCAGTGAATGTCCTTTGTTGCTGAATATCATATTTGTTTTTTTAGTTTATTGTATTTTACATGCAATAGGCTGTTAGTTTTCTCTTTTGAATTGTATAAAATTTGTCATGTCAGGGCCATTTTTATTTTGCTATGCAGTATTGGTTCTGCTTATTGTTGAAGGCTGTACAATGACTTATAGTTGCTAACTTCTACATCATTTGGTCTTTGGTGGAAAGTTGCCTCATTGGCAATCATACCACATATCTTATTTTTACAACTATTCAACAGCAATTAGGTAACTTGTCATTGAGAACAGTTCTTAAATAAAACCACACTAATTTACAATTATCTAGTAGGGAACTGGTTCAGTGTAGCATGAGGAACAGAATCAGAAACATAAGAAAGTGTCTTTATTTAAGCTTTCTTTAACTATGCAATCATTGTTTGAATTAATTAAAAAATTGAAGATGTAATGTCTTTTAAAATATCTAATCTTGCACATCATGACACTATATTAAATTCTTTTTACTGAACCTTTACCGAAGAATGGTTCCTCATCCCAAGCTTTACTGAAGAATGTTTCCTCATCCGTCAAATGTCCACTTTTAAATATAAAATGTTGTGTACAATTAATATTGTTATTGTTATTTCAGTTATGGTATGGGATGATTTAAAGAAGAAACATGTAATTGAATTAGAATTTTCTACAGACGTCAAAAGTGTGCGGCTGAGAAGAGATAGGTTAGGTTATACATTTACTATTACTGGTGCATGTAGCTGTTCTTCAAAGTCAGGAATATGACAGTTGTTATCCATTCGTTTGATGTGTTTGTTTTTTTGATTTTGCCATTTGATTGGGGACTTTCCTTTTTGAATTTTCCTCGGAGTTCAGTATTTTTGTGATTTTACTTTTTTCTTCATTAGGAAATCTCAGACATCAAGTTAACTTTTTAAGAACTCCCGTCATAACATTAACACAGTTATGTTTGTGGGGCAAAAGTGAAGTCCATTGCTTCCATCATATAACAATTTCCTACATGTGCACTTGTTTTGTATGCTAGGGTATATATTGCATGATTAGGTTTTTTGTAGTGGAGTAAGTAAATGTTAAGTTGTCTCAAGACATGCAGATATACATATACCATAACAACATGATAATTTTGATATAAAAAGATTGTCATATACGTTGAAAGACAAGGAAAGAAAAGAAAAGAAAATGAGATATTGATTTTTTCTATGTCTCATTTTAAAAATACTACTACTGCCTTTGTTTTATACAGGACTAAATGAAAAATTGTGTGACAAACATTTGAAATCTTGATTTTTTATTTTACCATTACCTTTACAATACCATACAATGTGTACAAAGAGTTCTTTTTAAATTTCAGAATTGTAGTAATATTAGACACAATGATAAAAGTGTATACTTTTACACAGAACCCTCAGCAACTTCATGTGTTTGAAACATGCACAAACCCAAGAGGTAATATAAATCTACTCTTAACATTGCCAATATTTGACTAAACTGCTCTAAACATGAGTTTAAAAGAATAGTACCAATCAGTTTTCATATATCATATTTTTGGTGTGCATGTATTTGAATGTAATTTATTATATTTTGAGAGAAAAATAAGATAATATTTTTGCAGATATGGACCAATTAGAGTTTTTTTTATGAATGAGTTATGTCAATCAACGTATTAACATTAGCATTGTGAAACAGGAAATGTACAGGAAGATGCATGAATTTGAAAGTCATCTATTGTCAGTGTATTTGTAATCAGTTTTTGTTGTTATTACTACATTTAGCAAATATTTGTGGATATGGTTATCAAACAATTTCAAACCAAATCAGAGTAAGTTACAATATACACATGAAATGATCGGGGTCAATATACACAAGTATGTAGTCACAGTAACATTTTCTTCTCCAGTTCTTTCTCTGTATCAAAAACTGTATTAAGACGCCATTTCAATCTGAGACATTTTCAAAAATGTTGTTAGAATTTTGTGGGGTAGCATGTGAGATTACCTTTTCCACTAAATAGTCAACTTGCACAGCATTTTGTGATAGAGATTCATATAGTGAAAAATCAAAATTTTGACACCATAAAATTCTCTGGAAACTTAAGTTTTTTGTAACTCCATGGTTTTAGATGAGGCCTAAAATTGTGAAAGATATATAATTATCTTTTTTTTGCAGGCAGACTGATGTTTAGTAATTATCTGAAGGACCACAATTAACAGATTTATAACATTTTATGATTGTCAAATAATAGGGTCAAAAGTGATTTTGTCAAAAAAATTTCTGTAAACTGAATGAAAGAGTTTTTTCTGATTTGGTTGCAATCATTGCTTTATAAATACTTCCTATTTCCAACAGGTCTATGTGTCATGTGTCCTAACAGCAATAATTCAATACTTGCATTTCCTGGACGTAAACCAGGCCATGTTCAGGTGGTAGACCTGGCTAACACAGAAAAATCACCCACAGACATAGCTGCTCATGAGGCACCTTTAAGCTGTATAGCTCTGAACTTACAAGGCACAAGGTTGGCTACATCATCCGAAAAAGTAAGTATAATACTTATTGAATTACATGTATAGTCAACTCTTGTTATCTCAAAGTCAGACGGATCAGAGAAATATTTCAAAATACCTGTAGTTCGACTCAAAAGAAAACCGGAAGTTTGACATATCAAGGGACACAACTCTTGCTTAGCTTGGTAAGGCTAAAATAAATCCGGATGAATATGGGTAGGGGACGATATTCAGGTCTCAGATTGATGTATTTGTATGTTATGGTCTTTTATTATTATGATAAGATTTTATGTTTTTTCGTTTCTTATTTATTTCTTTGTACAGTTACAATTTTTTCCTGTGGTTTTTAGCCAAGATAGTAATTTCCACTCGATCTTAGCGATATTTAAAGTTGACAAAATTGATAATTCTTTTATACAAGAGATTTTAGAAAATTTTGATTTCTTTTCATTTTCTTTTATTTCAATCTTATTGTGCAAGAGAAAATACAAAAAGATTGAAGACGCCGATTGAGTTAGTGAGTAGTTTTGAGTTGATCACCAACGAAAGTCTTAATCCCTACTTGATACACAACCAAGGTCATTAGTGTATGATTACGGTTAATTGTTTTTAAAACATTTTAAATCATTTTTCATAAACTATAACAATATATCACAAATTATTTATCATGGTGATCAAAGATAATCTTAGGTAAACACTCATGGAAAAAGAATGTCATAAATCAATACAGTAGTCAGTGACCCGAAATTTAATTACACTTGTAATGTCAGATTAACTCTTCAATCCATTTAAATCCCAAGGTAATGTTTTGACATATGTGTATTACTTCGAGTTAAATAATGAATTTTGAATGCTTTTGTTAACCTTGGGACCGTAAATTTAGTTCGAGTAAACCGAAATTTTGACTCATCAGGAGTTGAAATACATATATTTATATGGAACAAAGTTCGGGATCACGAGAAAACTTCGATCTCATCCAAAATTTCAGGTCAACCAAGTTCGAGACAATGAGAGTTTACTGTACTTGTTTTGAGATTTTGTTTATTAACAACTTAATACATATATAAATAAGAGTATTAATGATTACAATTTCTTTGCATGATGTAGAACGTAATGACCTTGAATTGATAGCTAGCTGAAAAAACAGAGTATAATCACAGTTACAATGATTATCAATCCGTCTTATCAACGAGATGTTGTTAAACCTTTCTTTAAAAAACTAACAGTGTTTGAAATTGATAGATTTTATCAAATATTTGCTTTTGATGATGAGTTGTTTATTTATATACATATATTTTTATGTACATATATTCTCTTATAAAATTGAATAGTTGTCACAAATCATATTTTTATAATCAATTACAAAAGTCTGAACAAGAAATAGTTGTTGATGTCTATCTATTCAGTTCATAGACAAGACACCTTGTTGGACAAATGACCTAGATAGATTTTTGATATCTCTGTTATTAGATGACAAGTCTAATTTATATAGCTGGTCTATATCTGATTATACAATGCATTAATAAATTATTGTAATGGACATGTGATCTAGGTTGCTTGTAGATATTTATCTGTAGAGATCACATACAAGGTTGCTGCTTGTACAAATTACCAACTTTGGATTTTAAATCTGTGCTTTTTAGATAAACACCTTCAGACCCCCATAAGAATATGTACTTCATTTGGTACCGTACTATATTTCCTAGCTGAACGGAACCATGAAATCTATGAAAATTGGCACTCCAGTAACAAAAATACTTTTGTAGTAACTGATCAGTATCTAATATGTGTATACAAATCAGAAACAAGAAGTCTTATTTGACAAGTGATTTATAGTACGGTGGATGGTTGACATCTGTCTTTTCTGAGCAGATTATAGGTGTCAGACCACCAATTCAAAATCCCTATCTGTTCAACCAAATTTTGCAATTTTCACAGCTTTCTTAATATTTTACCTTAAGTTTAACTTCATAGAAACCATGTATATCCTGAATTGTACATGTATCACCTTTCTACATGCCAATTTTCAACCCATGTTTAAAGACTTCTTAGAAAGAACTGCCTTTCGGAGGACAAGTACTACCAAAAATTACCCCTGGTTTTCTGGAAATCTTAAATTAGTATACTATGGAGCGCATTAATCCTCAATTTTTAATGCAAACTCATAGACAAGTAATTTTTGGCTCAAAATGGTCTAAATATATTTCTCTTCACCAAAAGTTTCATTTCTGCAAAGTTGTTGGTTAGTTTAAGTAAACAATGACATCAAAAGCACTATTTTGTGTCAGAGTAGGGCTACTTTTACATACGTTCTAAATTTGAGGGAGTGAATTGGTGGTCTGACACCTATAGGAGCCTTGATTGCCAATTGATCTAGAAAGCTGTTTCGAATCTATCTGCAAAGTTTCCAATAGCCTATCAGATACATTTTATTTATTGCATCTTAAAGGCAAGACACAGTCATTTCCACATTTATCAATATGCTTACTGTTTGCAAGTCTGTGAAAGAAGTTGTCAGTTTATCTCCAAAAGTCTATGGTTTACACTTCATATTATGTTTTTTTTTTAAGCAGTTGAATTTACCATGATGAATTGTAACCACTGGATTCAGTACATGGCATGCAAAACACAGATATTAGATGGTCTCATACTCATGGTTAATGTGTATATTTTTATTTTATAGTTGAACATTAGTACATAAAGAGTAAGAGCGTTTAAACCCATGTAAATCTTATGACTTTTGATTATATTTGCAGGGAACATTAATCCGAGTGTTTGATCCTATGTCAGGGTTACAGTTGCATGAACTAAGAAGAGGTGCAAATAGTGCTAACATTTATTGGTAAGCTAATTATCTTATTATCTGCATTTGCATTAGGAAAAAGATATAGCATTTCTATCTTTTTTTTTATACTCAGGGCATTTGTCTGTCCTTAGATTCTATCTGCTTCTTTAATCTGAGAATATTTTCAAGATTTATATGGGGACCACCACTGCTTGACAATGTGTTGATATTACCTTCAGGACAACATTTGACTGTACAAATTAATCTTTACCAATATCACCAAATACTGCAAAACATGTTTCACATCTTAATGCAGGTCTGATATTATTATAATCCAATGCCAGTGAAAATATTGCAGCAAAGGAAAGAACTTTACTAAAGTCCATTCAACTGAATTTTTTTTTTAGCAAGAAACATTGTTCTTGTCATCTTATGTACATTTTTGTCTCGCCTTGACGGAGTCAAAAAGCGAGACATAGGTATGCTGTTTCCGGCATCAACGTCAACAATGTATTAGTTTGTGATTAGGTCTAGTTCATGGTGAACTAGTGAGAGGTCAATGATGTTTGGTATGCAGTTGTATAAGCATTGGCACATCTCATTACCATGGAGATGCACATCTCATTACCATGGAGATTATTTGTCCCCGCCCATTCAGTCAAGGTCTATTGACTTTGAAACTTTGCTTAGTTTACATGTACATGTATTAGTTTGTGGTTAGATTAGTTTATGGGGAACCACTAGTGGTAGGTCAATGATATTTGGTATGCAGTTGTATAAGCATTGGCATATCTCATTTCCATGGAGATTTTTTGGCCCTGCCCCCTCATTCATGGTAATTTTGAAACTTTTGCTTAGTTTTCATGTATTAGTTTGTGATTAGGTCAGTTTAAGGGGAACTGTTAGTGGTAGGTCAATGATAATTGGTATGCAGTTGTATAAGCATTGGCACATCTCATTTCCATGGAGAATATTTGGTCCTTACCCCTCATTCATGGTCTATTGACTTTGAAACTTTTGCTTAGTTTACATGTATTAGTTTGTGATTAGGTCAGTTTAAGATGAAACACTAATGTTAATTCAATGATATTCGGTATGCAAATGTATTGGCATTTGCAAGTTTCATTTCCATGGAGATTATATAACCCCACCCCTTAATTATGGTTCATTGACTGAAACTTTTACATAGTTGACAAGTTAATGTATGTGTTTAGGTTTGTTTAAAGGGAACAACTTATGAAAAGTCAATGGTATTTGGTTTGCAGTTGTATTAGCATTGGCACATCTCATTTCCATGGAGATTGTTTAGCCCTGTACCTTCAGTCTTGGTTCATTGACTTTGAATATTTGCATAACTTACATGTTAAAGTATTGCTATTTTAATTTCAACATTTGCATTATCAAAATAACAAATAGGCGGGACATATCTCTGTGTTAACAGTTTATTTGAAATGTACAAAGATGTGCTTTACTGAGGAAAGGTTACTACATAAGGTACATCAGTGTTTCTTGTCCACGCAATGGAAGAGTAAAATATGATTGAAATTATGCAAACAATTCTTCCAATCTTTCCACCAGTGATTTCAGATAACTTTGATTTTATTCAATGGTTTGTCTGTCACATAAAAGTTTCTGCCTCTTTAATCTGAGTAACATTCTTTTATATTTTTCAGTATAAATTTCAATCAAGATTCCAGTTTGCTTTGTGTAGCAAGCGATCATGGAACAGTCCATATATTTTCTACAGAAGATCCTAAACGAAATAAACAATTAGGGTAGGTTGAATTCGATGTTCAAATATATTTGTTATTTATTTTTAAAAAACTGATTGTTTTTAGTGAATTAAAACTTTACAATATGATACTGTATGTGAATTTATCACATGTACATTGTGCACCTGACAGGTTTCATTCGACATTGACCTCAATTTTTAGAGCCCATTTTTCTTTTTTAAATGATTGAAATATTGCAGCAGATAATAAATTTTAGTTGACAACCAGGGTTTCCACTGTCAACATTTGACAAAAAAAATAAAAAATTGGCAAAAGGATTTTTGATTTCTCTCACTTTTTCTTGTCAATGATTGGATTTACATTTGGGACAATTGTTTGTCAGGTGTTTATCGATAAAAAAATACAGTGTGTCATGTGATTTGAAAATGATAAAGAATCAATAATCAGCTGATTGTGTATTAAATCAAAATTTATACAGTCAATTGCTATCAATTAAGAAACTAGGTGATAATTATCTTTTTCCTGTAACTTGGACTTGTTTGAAAGGATTCTCTCTATCACTTGGAGAACTTACTCGTGTGAAATAATAAATAGCATTGAATTCTCAAATCTTTAGTATTATTTTTTAATTGTAAACACATGTTTTTATGCCTTTTTATAATTGGGGAAAACAGAAAATGGACTATCAAATGTTTGTTCAATTTATTGCAAGTTTTATATATATCAAGATGTAAATCATGTGAATAGTGACAATTCTTCATAACTTTCATTTTGAATAAACCTATAAACCTACTGCAGAACAGTAAAAATAGTTTCTGAATTATAAAATAAACCATTATGACTAAGTGTATTGAGAACAATCAGGGTTTTTTGAAATGCTCTTATTCCCAAAAATAATCACTTTGTCTGTCTGTTTCTCTGACAAATATTTTGCACTTTTCTCAGGTACTTCTGGACAGACTTACTTCATATTTGGTCAGCAGCTTGACAGTTATGATTTGTAATGTGTGTGGTCTTTTCTGACCTGTCAGATGCCATTTTTTTTATTTTCAATACTTTGAATTTTAAAATATCATATGTAATAAATAAAATTAATATTTTCATCACACTTATCATAGGATTTCCATGCTATTGGGAAAATGGAAAAAGCCTGGGAAATAAAGGACCTGGAAATTCTCAAAACTTGAGAAAATCCAGAAAAAAACCTGATTATTATGCATACCATAATAGGGGGCAAATGCTTTTTGTTCTGTGCATCTGTTTAACTGTTTCTCCATCACCTATCTGGTTAAAGTTTCAATTTCCTAGCAAGTTGAAGTTTTGGTTTAAGGTAGTTAACCATGAAGTTGTAGTACAACTTTAAACTTAGTATATGTACTATGTTCATAATGATGTGAATTGTTTAAACATACATTCAAATTGGCAAAATTTAGAGAGACTTGCACTTTCTTCATACTTAAGAACTATGAGGGATCTTAGAAGTCTGTAGTTGCAAAGCAGAATTTCTGACCATTTCCATTATGTCCTTATTTTACAGTAAACATTTCTCGTTGATCAATTATTTCGTCCCCTTTAATTTACTGTTAACTTGATCAAATCCTGATCTTGAAAATGCATAAATGATATTTAAAAACCCAAATGATCACCCAATACAGTGAACAAAGGCATTGTTTAACATGCATACAAAAGAGAAAATACCCGAATACCCTTTAATTAAAAATGTTTAGAAATGCATTTAATGAATCAAGCAAGGGAGTATATCTCATAAACTTGTGCTTAGCTTTACTCTATATTTCTATTACAGTATTGGGTCTGCTAGTTTCCTACCGAAGTATTTTAGCTCAACATGGAGTTTTTCCAAGTTCCAAGTTCCTGGTGGTGCTAGATGTCTTTGTGCCTTTGGTGCAGATTCTAATTCTGTGATAGGTAAGTTTATATCAAATGTCCAAAGTACCAGGCCATAATCTTGCCGGCGAAATGCCGATTTAAGTCGCCAAAGAATTTTGAAAATCGCTAAATCTCGCCGGTAGACTGACTGCTTAGCGAAGTCAAATCGCTATCAAAATCAGTAAAAGGGAGACAACTTGTAATTTACAAGTCGCACAGGTAAAAAAATAAATGGCGACTGACAAGGAAAATCGAGATTTTCGAAACGACCCTTTTATTATTTATTCTTTGGCTTTTGCTGAAAAAAAATTGTAATAATAGTTGAGAACTGATTCATTTGAGGACTACTTTCCTGCCTGCTTTTTAAAAAGTTTAGTAAACTAGATACTGTTATTTCATTCGTTTGTACCAATTTCTTAATTTTAGAAATAGATGATTTTTAAGTCATATTTGCTTTTGGGATTTTGAGCAACCAAAATTATTTGTGAGAGTTGTATTGTTGGTAACTGTCTCATTGATTTAAATTCAACGTCTCCTTTAAGCACATTTATGCCATGAAAGTCCACAAAATATTGAGAGTTGTATGAAAAGTATGGAATCCACAAGTAAAAAAACTATAGTTTATTAGAAAGTCACTTCAGTGGTTCCCGATGTGTTGCTTTAACGTATGTACACCTAGTGGATCAAAATAAAATCATTACTATGTCTTATTTTTCAGTTGTGTGTGCTGATGGAAGCTATTACAAATTTGTGTTCAACCAGAAGGGGGAGTGTACTAGAGATGTATACGCCCAGTTCTTAGAGATGACAGATGATCGATCATGATTTTTCTTGACATTTAAGATGACTTTAAGATTATTTAAATTATGCTTTTGTTACATATTAAAGTAGTTTCTCAATAAATGGATACCATCATTGTAAACATTGTGGAAATTATTTTTTTGGGGGTAAAATTGATACAGTCAAACCTGTTGAAACTCTCACTTTAATTCACATGTCCCCTTTTAACTTATAGCAAACGTGAGATGCAGACAAACAATTTCTCTATATTTAAAAAAAATTATTTTAAGGGTCACCTGTCTAATGCATTTAAAATCATTGTTTCATCGTAATTACAGCAATTTCCAACAGGCCAGGAAATTACCTGATTGTATAAAAATGTTATAAAACATGGCAGGGTAAATTTTGTCTGCACAGATATTGAGGTTGACTGATGTATTAAAGGACTACAATCACAAGAAAAACAAACTTTAATTGTATATGTATTTACCGTACAGAGTTTTAATGAAGTTACCTCTCTTAAGAGTTCTTTTTGGTATTTCGCATGCCATGAGTGACTGCTTAAAATAGGTTTGACTGTATTGATATTAAATTCATTTATTGACTGTAAAACCGATTGTCAGAGACTATGACATGACTGCTTTTTACAAAGTAACTTTATATGTGGTACCTTGTCAGATTAATTGATGGTATAAAAAAACCAGGATTATATCAAACATTTTGGAGGTTGAAAGAATATATTGTCCTGTTTGTTTTCATTTGCAGATACACATGTAGTGATAGATCATTTTTTGAAGAGTTAGAGTTGTATATGTGTGCTCCATTTGATATAGAATATTGGATGCATGGATCAACATTCCATATTAGAACTGGTTGTAAACAATGTAAGGCCATAAATAAAGATTATTGTTTCAAGTGTTGTCCAAGGTTTTTTTCTTATAGATATCAATGGTTCAATGTTTTAAGTTTGTTCATTAATTTATGAATTACAGATTTGTTTTTAGTAAAGTATATAATGCAAAACAACTTGACTTGTGACATGTCTTCCTGCATGGAACTGCAGTATTAATTATAAAACATGTTTTCACATACAGTGAAACCTGTGCTAACAAAACCATAACTGTAATGTAAACTAGATTGTACTGTGACTGTGCAGTAGGTTATTCTCATGGGGTGCTTTTTGGATATGTATTAGTTATGATATTGAAAAAAGATAATATATTATCAGATTCAGTTTTAAGATCATGTTTTTCATGTCTTAACATAAGTCAAAATGTTTTTATTTTCTTATATGAATTAACAAATTGACAAGGATGAAAGCAGTTGTGATTTCATTTATGTTTTTTAGCATAGGAGTTAACAGTGATATGAAATGTTAATGGTTATAAGCATTTTTTTTGTCATTTTATTCAGGACTTTATTATTGTTGGAGCTGAGAAACTGGGTTAGTAAGGAAACCCTAAACATATATGTTTTTTTTTCTGGAACAACTACAGTGATTATACTGATATGACTACATTTTACCTTAGTCATGACGAGTATATAGGTGAGACATATCTGTTTTTCCATACTTGATTGTATACATAAATCAATATATATTGTACTAATACAAGATGTTCACCACCCATTTGGTTTGTTTGTACTATACTGTAAATTCATATATCTTTATGTACCTTCATTTATACCTTATTAAAAAAAAATGAAATGAATTTCTGATATGATAAATGTACAGTATTTCAACAGAGAAAATTGTGAGAAAAGAAGTATGTCTGTTGAACTTTTAAGATGACCTGGAAAATACTCAATTATATGTATTTCAAATTCAGTAGCTTAATCTTGCATTCATTTGAAATTGTACAATCACTTGACACTGTACAAAGATAAATATATGCTTACAGTAGACCTATTCTGTATATTTTTTTGGTCATATAATGGTCTGACCATATGGGATTACCTGCATGGTTTATGTTGAGCCAGACTACATACCTGTATAGTTATCACAATATGAAGAAAGATACATGAAAATAAAATCAAAACACGAAGACATGTAGACTAAGCAAAATTAAATGGCAAAATTGTGTATTGTTGACTGATTTCAGATAAATGTTCACATACAAATATAATCCTTTTTGTGTCTTGTCTATATTACACGTGTATTAGTATTTTCACAATACAAGCACCAGTTTAACTTTTTTTTTATTCTCAGAATGAATTAACTAATATAAGACACCATTGGTCAATAAAAATGATAGATTAAAAGGAAAAATTGTGTATTATTGACTGATTTCAAATAAATGTTCACATACAAATATAATCCTTTTTGTGTCTTGTCTATATTACACGTGTATTAGTATTTTCACAATACAAGCACCAGTTTAACTTTTTTTTTATTCTCAGAATGAATTAACTAATACAAGACACCATTGGTCAATAAAAATGATAGATTAAAGGACATAACACCATGTTCAAACAACTGATATAGCTTGTAAATTTATCCTGCTTCTTTTAAAGTACAGCAGAGGAAATATATTGTTGAGCTACTGAATTTGAACTGTGTACAGTGTATTTGATACATTTATATATGTCATTGTTTTTGTCTTTTTCTTTCAAGAACTAGGTTCAAAATGTTAAACACAGCATACTGTTTTAATATTGTATAAAAGTTGAAGAGACAGTGAGCAGATTTGCATCTAAACACATTTAATTACCAAATGTGCAATTTGTCTAAAAAGAATTCTTTTTAGACATTCATTGTTTTTATCATATACCTCCATGATTTGAACAAATGACAGGTGTGTATATTTGTATGTATTGATATGTATATATATAGCTATTGATTTAATTTGTATTAAACTTAGTACATAAATTTAATTATTTTGTGAAGTTGTTAAAAAAAAAATTTTTTAATTACCAATTTTCAGTCTTCAACTTGTTTAAATAAGATATTGTTGAAATATTAGAAGTAGACATGTTCTTGGTCTTACAGTTACATTCTTAAGATTATTTAAAGTTATTTAAAAAGTGCTGTTAGTTTATTGTTATATATCAGACACCACAATTGTCTGGTTGTGTGAAACACATACTTGTTCAATGACCTGATTTTACCAGGTCACATTGAGGAGTATACCAAGTTACCCATTATTTTTTAATTACCCACTAGATCATAAAATAGCCTGGTATTCTCAGCATAAAATGAGTTTTCACTGGTATTTTAGTCACATAAGACTTTTGATGTCCAACTCCTACTGTAAATAGTAAGGGAATCAACTGTAACCGTATCATCTGATTCAATAAAATGTCCTTAAAACTTCTGAACTGCAAATCTGGTGACTTATATAAATATAGCAAAAGGTTTAAAAAAATTAATTGATGAATTTCAAGAAATTCATAAATCTATTTGCAACCATGTGTATATAATTCTATGCATTGATTTGACTGATATTTTTTAAAGAACGAATATTAAGAATATTGAAAAAAAAAAACAAAAAAAAACAATGAAATAATTACTATTAAGTTAAAAGGGAAAAATAAAGAATTGTAAATAATTTTCAGTATATAATTAATGCTTTTGAATATTTTAAAGAAAAAGACATACGTTAAAAAGAAAAAAAAATCTCTGTAAAAACATAAATTCAGCAACAAATGTGTGTACAGGTAATACCGTAATGTTTCTTTTTTTGCTCAATTTTTGCTCTTAAAGGTTGATAGATATACTACCAGATCCAACAAATGCCAAACAGAGATCTATAGTACAGGTATTTGTGTATTCTAATAGAATATCCTGTTTTACAAGTAAAACCTATCTCATAATAAGCATTGTGTCGAACTGATAAATTGTCCATTAATTGATTAAAACTGGTGCTTGTATGATTTGCACATCAAGAAATGATTTAAAATCTGTGACAATAGAATTAAAGAATCAGTATAGATAGTTATTGTCATATCAGGCTGTAATTTTTTTTAGAGATATAAGTTATCTAATATGTGGATAAAATCAGTGGACTTCAAGTGTTGTGTTCCATACAACTGCCAGCATTGATATGTTTCTTATTCATGTTTTGCAATATATATATATATATAAGAAATTGTCATATGATGTAGTACTGCAGTCAGAAAAGAAAGTCATGAAACTGAAGAGGAAAATAAAGCATAATTATAATGTTTACTGTCGTTTTTTACTGACTTTGTGTGCAGGGTTAGTTTGAGCTATTGATTTTGCTTGGAGTTGGTTGTTTGTCTGTTAACTTTTTACAGGTTCTTTATATTTTTTTTTAATCTGCTGTGCCAAACTGTAGCAAATCTATCAGGATTAATGTAGTACAGGACCTTTATGGAATATTCTCATTTCATTCTTTCAGGATGAAAAAACATGGCTCAAGGGAAATTTTAATATATAATTTGCCAATTTTCAAGTCTTGCATGAAGCTACAAGGCAAATCTTTTTTTTTAAACTGAACTTGAAAAATGATTCGAAAGATCCCTGATATTCATAAGGAACAGCATTATTGGTAGTGATGATGTCATATAGGTTTTTGTCGAGCCTGCAACTTTTGTCGCAAAAGCGAGACATAGCGATTCTACATTCCAGCGGCGGCGGCATCCACAAATATTCACTCTGTGGTTAAAGTTTTTGAAATTTTAATAACTTTCTTAAACTATCCTGGATTTCTACCAAACTTGGACAGATGCTTGTTTATGATCACAAGATAGTATCCAGAAGTAAATTTTGTAAAAAAAAAATCCTGTTTATGTGTATTTTACTTATAAATGGACTTTGTTTTTCTGCCAGTTAACATTACATTCACTCTGTGGTTAAAGTTTTAAAAGTTTTAATAACTTTCTTAAACTATCTGGATTTGTACCAAACTTGGACAGAAGCTTGTTTATGATCAAAAGCTAGTATCTAGAAGGAAATTTTGTAAAAATTTATTTCATGTTTTTCCGTATATTACTTATAAATGGACTTAGTTTTTCTTCCAGTTAACATTACATACAGTCTGCAGTTAAAGTTTTTAAAACATTTATTAGATTCATAAACCATCCTGGATTTTTACCAAACTTGGACAGAAGCTTCTTACAATCAAAAGATAGTATCTAGAGGAAAGAGAACACACAATATAAATCGCCTAAAAAGAAATTATCTATTTTACCAGTAAAAAAAAAAGTAAAAGTAAAAGCACAACTATAATGAACAATACCACTTCAAAGAATTCAATGCAAGGTCTTCATGTCTGTCAGACAGGGTCACCTGACCTTGATCTCATTTCATGGATTAGTGATCCAAGGTTTAGCTTTACTGGCCATGGTCAAGTCATTTGATAGTAAGGTGTACATGTCTGGCAGGGCTCATCTGACCTTGGCAGTTTACAAAATTCATTAATAAAAAATAGTGTGAATGAAACAATTAGAGGGTATTACTTTATATTTATATTTGATTAATAATAAATATTTAATTAATACTTTATTGAAGTTAAAATGAAAACATATATTGATATATAAAAAAAAATCAAGGAAAACTTCACAATTGTGAATATTTGTACTGGTAACTGGTATATATTATAGAATACATGTATTAAAAAAATCCTCTAAATACTAAAATTCAACTGAGTTAAGTTTGTATAGGTTTAGACCTGACTTTTTCTTCCTCATTTCAGGTGGTGACCTACATTTTCACTTTCAGATGTTGACAGGTTTGCTTGGCCTCATTTGCAAGGTTCATTGCTGAATATAAACTTGTCATGGTTAAGACTGTTTCTTAGAAACTATAAGCAATAAGTCTGCTACAGTTAGTATACTGAACGATTGTGAAGGATACATGTGTGTCTGGCAGGGTTAATCTGACCTTGACCTCATTTACATGGTTCATTGGTCAATGTTAAGTTTTCATTTTTTTGTTCATTTCTCAGATACTGTAATCAATAGGTCAACTACAATTGGTTTATAGAATCTTTGTTAGGTGTACTTGTCCTTCTGGCAGGGTTCATCTGACCTTAACCTCAAGTTTATATAGTTAGGTCCATTTCTCAGCTACTATAAGCAAAAGGATAGCTAGATTTGGTGTATGAACTAGTTATAAAGTGTACATGTCTATCTGATAGGGTTCTTCTGACCATAACCTCATTTCCATGGTATATTGGTCAACATAACGTTTTAGTGGTTTGGTCCATTTCTCGGATACTATTAGAGAGAGGTCAAAAATATTTGCTGTATTGAATTATTTCAGGACCTCCACAATTCAATTTCAGGATATCCTTAACATGGAATTGTGGAGGTCCTGAAATAATTGTGGACCTCCATAATTTATCAAAGATATGCTGAAATCGAAATGTGGAGTTCCATAAACATTAAGGACCTCTTGAATTAAAGTAATTTCGACCAGTCCTGAAATGGAATTATGGAGGTCCTCAATAATTTATGATTGCAAGAAATAATTGAAATAAATAAGCTGTACTACCAACAGGTGAATATGGATATTTTGTTCACAAAAATTCCTCCTTTATATGCATATTTTTTTGTTTAACCTTAAGAAGTCATTTGTTTGTTTTTGTTGGTTAGTTTAATCAAGATATAAATAAAAACAACATAATTCATAAATTTGTTAGTATTTAGGCTGTAGCTGAGACTTTTATTACCCATTGTGTGATAATAGTTTAAACAAAACTTGGTTTTGTTAACATATGAGCTGTGTCGGATAGAAATCGACCTTATGCAGGTGCATATTTACATGAACATGTTCAAGACTTTGATTGATTTTGGAACATTTAAGGGAGCTACCATTTGATTTTTATGGGGGTGCTAGGATGAAAAATGTTGTCCTGAATTTATTTTAAGTTGTTATCTTTGTCCTGCATTTTTATTTTTCACTCTAATTCGGTCCTGTCTTTTTTTTTATTAGTTTATCCTGACTTTTTTTACAAAAATCGTCATCCTGCCTTTCTTTTTTGTCAAGTTGCTCATCCTTCCTTTTTTTTTTTACTCAAAACTCCTGTCCTGCTTTTTTTCTTCAAATTTAATCCTAGCCCCCCCCCCCATAAAAATCATATGGTAGCTCCCTAAATAAGAAATAAAAGATGAATTTTGATCTGTTTTATAGGGTCCTTGTATCAACTCAATTTTCAAGCAGATACAGTCTTTGCAAAAAGACTTTTTTTAACCAAAAAAAGGTTTACAGATGTATTGGTATTCATTTGCATAAGGTTGATATCTATCCAATGCAGCTCATATTAAGGTGGCTCGGGTGTCTTCCTCCATCTTGGATTTTGAAGTAGCAGATAACAATTGGTCTAGATCTTTAATGAAAAGTGCAAACTTTGAGAGTAGTATATGTAATTCATGTGTAAGACTTTTCTTGTTAATATAGAAAATTATGTGTTTTATCATATTTATGGCTGTTTCTTCTGAAAAACACATTATTTTTGTTTGATTCAATTTTTTTCAACTTTGCCACATAAGGGGAGATAACTAAGATAGTAGGGGAGATAACTCAGATAAAGTAATTTTTATAATAGAAAGTGTTGTGAATTTACCTATTTTAATATGTAGCAAGAAAACAAGTTCGGTGACCCCATTTTTTCCTTTTCTTATCTGAAAGCATGTTATAAATGCTATCTTTTCACATTTTATCTTGAAATTTTATGATGTAGTTCTTTTTATCACACAAAATAAGATTTTTCATGCATAATCTATACAAAATCTGACAATTTTGCACAACCTGTAGTGTGAAAAAAAGTCTGGTGACCCATACTTTTTATTATATTTTGGAAAAAAGCATGATAAAAACTACATTTTGACAAATTATTAAAAAATTCTATGGATTTTAATTAAGACCCCCCTCCATTCTCCTTAAGAATAATATTCATTATAACAAGAAACATATATAGTACTTGTATTATATGCCCCTGTTATTACTGATTATTTTCTGGATTATACTCTTGTTTAAAATCATTTTTGCTTAACAAATGAAGATTAGTAAATTGATATAACAGGTTAACTGTAGTTGGGAGACAACGAAATCCTAATGGTGCAATGGTTACGAGTTCGGAACTACTAGATAGGTTTTAGTGGTATCATGCTAAACCGGAAGATGCCAACGTTTCACGTTTCAGAAATGGCAGCTGGAACAGAAAGCATGACAGGAGAAAATGTTGATGAATTAGGTACCCAAGAAGTACCTGTTAGTCAAAAATTAACATTTGAAGGTAAATATATATTACTAAGAGCAGATATGGCTCACAACAACTGCAAAAACTGAATTTCAATCATAAGATTTAAACGTAGACAGTAGGCCGGTTTTACCCATATGGAAAATTTTGCTTAGAAAATTGATTTGAAGAAATGAATGAACAGAAACAGATATATTAGAAGCATGAAGAATTGGCTAGACAACACCTATTATAAATCATAGGAGCCAGAAGCATGTTATTTCGGAATGCAAGACAAATATTACCTGAAAAGCTACTCCAAATAATAATGTCTTTAATGATATATTTTAAGGCTATTTTTGCTTTTTTTGACGCCTTCCTACAATGTCATAATACCAAAGCCATTTTTTCAGCTGGCAATTCGATCTCAACTTTGAGACTCAATTTAATATGAAATTTTCACTGACAGCTGGAAATGATCGCATCTTTGGAAATTCTAACCTTTTCTGTGCTGATTGGTGCATAATGTTCCCAAAATATTTAAAAGTAATGATAAAACAATTTACACTTGCAAGAAGGTTTTTATGCATCCTAAGGAAAAAATCATGGTTTCATTCAAAGGGCTAGTTGACAAATTTTATGTTGGGGATATCGCATATAAAAATAAGAAGATGTGGTATAATTGCCAATGAGACAACTCTCCACCAGAGACATGTCTTTTTGCGAAGTCTGAAATAGAAAACTCAAAGATGACCACAGTGCCCTGTTTGAAGTTTTAAAGTGTACAAGGACTGTTCAACATCATCAAAAGATCTTCACAGCTCAAAACACTACCCAGGGGCATTTCCAGGATATTTGAAAGAGGGGGCGTAGAATACAAAATTTTTTTTGGACCTTATTTTGGCTAAAAAAACATAAAATAATTGTGAAATGCACTAATATAACGGTTCTTTGACTTGGAGCATGTATATTTTATAGTTAAAGTGTCAGGGTTTGATATTTTTTATGCCAAATTCTCTCCATTAATTGTCTATGGTATATTAAAATGATTGGACGGATCTTAACAGCAGTAGACCAATAACGAGAAATTCCAAATTCTAGGGTATAGGGCGTTACTTTACATTTCAATAGTCCTAGGCCAGTATTTTATGAACGGGAGGCGTAATTCCGGTTGCCCTGGTATAGGGTCCATGGGGAAGGTCAGAAGCTCCTGGATTTCAACAATTTAGCATCAAATTATGAAGTATTATAACAGACTCCATGATAGACAAATTGGTGAAAATAGTCTGCCTTCGGATCATTCAAATTATGTATTGATTAACATGTGGATATCAAATCTTTGGAAGAAGTTATGAATTCAGTTAAAAGGTTATATGAAATGGGCATGAAAAATGGAAAATAAAGCTTTAACGATAGCTTTTTCTGAACTTTTGATATATATATATATACCCGTTTTGTTAAAATATACCTTTTCACTGTTTTTGGTCTTTTGGAAAATGTTGTTTGTGCTGTATTTAGACCCCTTTACCAAGAAATTTGTTTTGCATGCACACGTATAAAAATTGCGGTTTTTATCCAACGCAATCATAGGTTTGAACGTTGTTTTCAATTTAGTAGATATAAAAAGATGTGGTATGAGTGCCAATGAGACAACTTTCCATCCAAGTCACAATTTATAAAAGTAAACCATAATAGGTCAAAGTACGGTCTTCAACACGGAGCCTTGGCTCACACCGAACAGCAAGCTATAAAGGGCCCCAAAAATTACTAGTGTTAAACCATTCAAACGGGAAAACCAACGGTCTTATCTATATAAGAAACACTTATGAACCACATCAACAAACGACAACTACTAAACATCAGATTCCTGACTTAGGACAGGTGCAACCAATTGCAGCGGGTTTAAACGTTTTAATGGTACCAAACATTCACCCTTATCTGAAACAATAGTGTAACATTGTATTTATAATACCCCGTTCTAGATAGTCAAATCTGACCCCTTCCAATGCAAGGCGAAAAAAACATAACCCCATTTCAGACAATTTAGCTGAAAATGCAACCCCGTTTGTTGGAACATACCCGGTATCATATATATAGCGAGTATCCCCAGGGTAGATGTAGAATGGCCATTGGGGAAGTGTCACACAAAACAACCATTTCATGTATAGATTTACTTACCGCTTTGGTTGTTTAAAAAAGGTGTCCAAGTCACCCATCGGATGGGGGAATCAGTATAAAAGAAATCACAGTATGTGTTTAATTAATGAATATGATAAATTGCCATATTCAATACAATATAAGCAGATAACGATAGTTTTTTTTTTTTTTTTTTTCAAAAAGGGGGGGGGGGGGCGTATGCCCATTACGCCCTTACCTGGACCCGCCCCTGCTACCAAGTCGGTAACTTCTTTGTACAAGCAGATGATGAGAGACCAAGGGTCCTGAAACGGTCATATTTGCCAGTCATGACCTAAACAAAGCTATTTGTCCTAAACGAAAGATTGGGATTTAGGACAAATTTAATTTTTTACATATATAATTTTGGTCATTTCATTGAGATCGCCATTTTGCACTTGTTTTTGTTTTCCTGTAATAAAACGGCCACTCCAGTAAAGGCCCTCCAAATAACTATATTAATGCCTCCGGGAAATATTGGCTACCGATCGCTAATCACTTTTTACCTGTGTTTTTAATTCACACCTGACATTGATCACAAGCTCATGATCAGAACTAATATCATAAAGAAATTAAAAGTCCATGACAACTGTCTTCATTATTTAACTACTTTTCAGCAAAGACAATTCTGATATAAAAATTAAAACTTAATTTAATTTACGTAGAAAAAAGTAATTTTCCACGAGTTGCTTTATTTACTATGTAATACACATGCATGAAATTGTCTTCAGCAGATTAGACACTGAATTGTGAAATGCAAAATGATTTCATGCTAAATTGAATGAGTGCAACTATTATCTGTTATATTCAAACACTTTTAAAGGTAATAAAATTTAAAAAAGCGGTGATTTCCTGTCAATTTGATAAACAAAATGAATCCCGGAAATCAATCTGGAATTACTCGTACTTTAGTATTGTAGCAAAACTTCCGGTTTTAATTTCATCTTCAAAATCGAAAGAAACATAATTAGCGATGTCTGAGAAATTTACCATTTTGAGTCATTAAAATCATTTAAATTTTATACTGTTAGCTTTCCTACTGTTCTTGAATGTTTTTAGAAAAATGGTAAGAAAATTCATGAAGTAAATGCGATGAAACAGTCAATACAAGGTTGTTGTTGCTATCTAGTGTGATTTTGACAATTTGAAAAAAAAACACTTTTAAGTCATCTAAAAATGACCGAAATTGTGTGAAAAAATTTCCAGATCCTTTTGAGAGAATCTAGACATTTTCATTGTTAAGAGTTTAATCAGAATTTCAAAATATGAATGAAGTTTAATACAAGTCAATAAAGTGTGCTTACTTTGATACAATTTGATCTGCAGTGCTGCCATAAACATATCAAATAGTAGCTTATATTGTCATTACACTTTATATTGAAGCAGATCCTTACATTGTTGTCATTGCTATTTTAAATTATCAACTTATCAAAAGTATTGCACATTGTATTTGATATATCACATGGAAATATATATGTGTATACTGTGTCCATATTTACATATATGATTGTAAATTAATAAGTCAACCGTCAGTTATTACTACACAAGAAAAGATTTTACTGTTATTCTAGCTAAATGTACAAGTTTGTATACACAATAAAATAAGTACATGTACAAGAAACATGCAAATAATGAAATATAAAGAAAAAAAGGCTTATTAGCTCCTCCTCAGTATACCATAAGAAAAAAAAAAGAAAGATGAAACTATTTCTAGATTTTAAAAAAGTGCACACAAAAATTGGTCGCACTCTAAAACCTGTATGTAGATTTTCAAAAGTTAGCAGGTCTGAAAGTGCATTTCCTTTGTTTCTTCTGCATCAAAACTTTTTATTTTCTGTCAAAAATTCTTGACCAATGATCTGTGATTCTACCCTTTATTTTATGTTCATATGTTTAAATTATGATAAAGCTGTTTTTACATATATTTTAGTATTATAGATGTATATTTGACCACAATGTTTTGTAGTAAACTTAAAACTTTGAATCAATTGCAATCTCTAGTAGAAAATATCAAATTTGAAAGGGAGATTTTTGTCACCGGCACTGTGAATCCATCACCACTCTCCTATATGCCTGTTCCTTCTTTGTATTTTCAGTGTTGCAGATTGTGAAAGAAGCTCAGCAACAGCATGGATTGAGACATGGAGATTTTCAAAGATATAGGTATGTACACATACTTTCATGCTCTTTCCTAGATAAATGCTCTTGATATAATAAATGTTCTTGATAAACTGATTTCTAAGCTATGTTTCCAGTACAATTAATGGCTTTCAGTTCGTTAATTATCCTGTGAAAGTTTATGTCAATCATTCTTTCATGTTTTAAGATAAAAATGTACCTATGTTCTAAATCCTGACCTATGCTATATGTTCCATAAAATAATTCCATAATTGATATCCACATGTATATTTGAAAAATAAATAACGAAAAAATACACATGGTAACAACTGATAGCGCTTTTAGCCGTCTTATCCACTCTTTGGACAGAACATTACTACGTGGTAACATAATGACAATTTAGATTGTGATGTCCCGTCAGCAGCATTTTACTTTTCTTGGGGTTAGATTTGGCTTGAATTTCTGAATAAAGTGTTCCTCTCTAGCTACTCAGAAGGATTTATTTTTAAATAAAGATTAAAAAATGGGAATTTGCAGAATTTTATGGAACTGGGGAAAAGATAAGCAGGGTCCCAGTTGCCCTAACTACTAAACTTTTGGCTTGGACCCTAAATTTGACTATAAAATGTCATTAGTGCTTAGGTTAACTTTTCTTATTAAAGCTCTTGATAAGATTAAGAAAAAAAGACCAGTTTCAAGAAGGTTGAGGTTGATTAACTTGTTTTACTGATTGGCAGCAATAGATATGTTAACAGATTGACGGAATTACATATTTATGCAAAAATGTTTTATATAATTAGGTGAATCAGTAGTGCCAGCCTTTTTGATAAAATCATATTATTTATTATTTTTTTAGGGGTTATTGTTCTAGAAGGATAAGACGTCTAAGGAAATCTCTACATTTTCCACAAGGCAATAATAGGAAAGTAACACCAAAGAAAATAGACATGGAAACTATCACTGATGTCAGGTAAATTATTTTCTTTAATTCTTAGCCAATATATACTTTTTGACCAGATGATTATTTTTTTACAATCAAAGCATGGTTGGTTTGATCTCAGTTCTTCATTGGACAAAATCCCATTGTGAACTTGTGTAAGTATTTACTAAATGTCTTTATTGACATTCTGATATTAAAGATTTTTAGACAGAGGAACAAGACCATCCTACTGTGGGGAGGGGAGTGTCATTTTGAATTCCTGGGAAAAATAAATGCTGAATCCCAAATTCCTGAGAAAAAAAATTCTTTCCTGGATTCCGAAAAATTAATCATTAATTGTAGAGTCCTAATAAGAGAAATCAGGAATTCCCGCAAAAATAAAGACCCTATCTCGACGTCCCAAAAAAGGTCCTACCTCCCCTCTACTGTAGTATTGCTTTTAAGAATTATTGTTTACATTGTAGATTAAGTTTTGTCGTAACAAAAGTGATACATACCAGTATGTAATATTTTGTAAATTTCTATACTTGCTCCTATTGTAATATTTTACAGATTTCTACACTTGCCCCTATTCTGTGCAGAAAGAGCATGGTATTATGCTATGCAGTTGAAGTCAGAAGCTAACACAGAACAGAGAAAGAAGTTTCACACGTTGGCAAAGATAAAGAAAGCTGTAACATACGCTGAAGAGTTAGCAGAATTATGTAAAAGTCCAAAGTGTGATGCCCAGACACAGCTGGAAAGTCAGGTATCATTAGTTTCATTCTAAAAATATTAGTAGTTTTAACTTGTGCTTTAAAATTTCTTACAATATAAAAATTAGGAGATGTGGTATGATTGCCAATGAGACAACTATCCACCCAAGTTCAAGCACTTCGATTAATTTTTGAAGTTATATTTGTCAACTCTCGAAGTAAATTTATATAAAATGATGTATTGATGAAGATGTCAAGACTCAACCTTTTTTTTCAAAGAAATTTGCATTTTAGTCATGAAAAGGGCCATGGGATAAAAATACAGGAGAAAAGACATATCTTTTACTGAAATTTCAGGTTGATATAAATGACCTGGTATTAGTGGACTAGTTTCCCATAAAAATAAAGTCAGTTGACAATAAATAAAAGTGGATGCTCCTCTTAATGGTGCTCTGATTATGAATTTCTCATAATTGTTTCCATTAAACTATTATGTTTGTTTTATGTAGTCAAAAAAATTCATATTCATATCTTATTGGTAACTAATATTTAAATTTGATAGGGATTTTTTAAGTATTTTTTTAACTTTTAATTATATACTTCCAGTTACCATAAGAAAAATTTGAAAGAGATTTTTTTATATGTAAGAGATACTGTAATCTTATATAATGCAAGAGTGAAATGCACATAAAGATTATATATCTCTAACTTCAGGCTTATTTATCATGGATACAAGCTGGAATGTACTTTGAACAAGAGGTGTGGGACAAGGCAATGAAATTATATACACAGGCAAAGTAAGTGATTTATAATGTTGAAGCAAAAGCATCAAATTGAATGGATGCCAGATGTCTATGAAGATTTATAATGAAAAAAATACTTATTATTATACAGTAGACTCCACCTAATCGGATATTGGCTAAAGGAATATATCGGCTATAGTAATATTTTTTCAAAACACCAAACCCTTCCCTATATGTTTAAATGTTAATTTTATCATGTAATCGAATATCAGATATAAGAATATATCGGCAAATAGGATAGGAATATTCAGGAAAATTAGTTCAAAACCATGCACAATCGGAAATTTTCAATATTTTTCTGACAGGAAATGGACCCGCTATAACAATCTTAAAGAGAAGAACATTTTTTTTTACTTAATAAAAAGAACTATTTCTTAATAAATTGTTGTCTTTATTCATTGTCTTCCTTTGTGATGTGTATAAGATGCCCTTACAATTCAAATGGTTTGAATTTATTTATAAAATATACAAGAGTAGTACGTTGGGAGAATTTTGATAAAACTCTTTAAGTCCTTACAGAATCACAATCAGAAATATAGTTTAAACTGAATGTATCTCCTTCTGAATAATTTGTTGCAATATACATATAAATCCCCTTTGAACTGAGAAATCTGTCTTTTGTCAGATATAGTTATGTAACATGTGCATGACTTCATGTCATGGACACCATTTTCTTTTGTTAACATAATGTGAAGAAGCCTGGAGAACAATGACCTTAACATTAACAGAATCTTCAGAAAACTTAAACTTGATGCTATATTATTTTATTAATCATGCTTATTATCTTCATAGATAGTCAAATAAATTTGATTAATTAAAGAAATAAAATATATAACAAATAAGATTTCAGTTTAGAAATTGTACACAGGACATGCTGTATCTATTTATAGCCCAAGAAGCTTACCTGTGATTTCACCACACACAAATGTGAATATGTATATTACTTTGTTTATAAAACAAATAAAGATACTAACTATGGATGGTAGATATTTATTCACATAAATGTTTCAGGACATTTGATTTACTTTAATAAACAAAGGATTTAAAAACTGAAAACAAATATGAGCATTACATAACCAGCTGATCATTTTTGTCTCGCCTGCGACGAAAGTCACGGAAAGCAAGACATAGGGTTTGCTTTTCTGTCGACAGCGATGACGGTGTCAACAATTGTTAAGTTTTCTGCTTAAGTTAGTTTGATAGGAAGTACTTGTGATAGATCAATGATGTTTTGTATGAAGTTGCATTACTATCAGTACATAACAGTTTGACGACTATTTTTAGGCCATGGTCCAGTGACTTTGAATTAATTGGCCATTTCAAATGTTAAGTTTTCTGCTTAAGTTAAATTGATAGGAACTACTAGTGATAGATCAATGATATTTTGTGTGAAGTTGCATTACTTTCAGTACATATCAGTTTGATGACTATTTTGAGGCCCTGCCCCATTATATAGCTAGGTCATGGTCCAGTGACTCAATCAATTAACAATTTTCAATGTTAAGTTTTATGATTAAGTTAGTTTGATAGGAACTATTTACAATAGACAATATTTTCTATAAAGTTAAATTGCTGTTTGTACATCTCAGTTTGTCAATCATTTCGAGGCCCTACCCACTAGTTGGTCCAGCGACTTTGAATTAATTAGCAATGTTGCTGTCCATCAGATTGTCTTTTTCTGAATTTTATGCCGACAGGCGAGACATATCTCTGTATCAACAGTTTATTTACACATTAACATTGCGGTGATGTACCTAAAAAAAATCACTCCAACCCTTTTATACATATACATGATATGGCAGTGGTCAGGGCTAGTAACATCTCAGGATTAGGTCAACTTATTATTGAAGAATATTCAATGAATATTCTTATCAATTTTGAGGTCAGCTTGTTGGAACTTCAAGGTCACAGATACTAAAATAGATGCAATTTAGTATAGAAAATGTGTTTCAAGATGACAACTCTAGAAACTTACATAAGGTTAGAACCAGACTTTGATACATGGTTACATGTAAATCCCTGTATATTATGAACTCAACAGATTTTGGTCAAGGTCCACATCTCAATATCCCTCATGAAGGAAAATACCTTCCAAGTAAGAGTCCTTATATTTATATTGTTATCAAAAATGTTTGGCAATAATATCAAGCAAAAGAGTTATAAATTTGTTCAAAACATAACATCTTTGTTTACAAATGATGATCTTATTTGTTTTGAATATTTTTTATGCCTCGTCGTAGTGGTGGGGGCATTAAGTTTTACCATTGTCCGTCTGTACGTACGTCCCAAAATTGGTTTCCGTTCTCTAACTTGAGTTTTCCTCAACCAAATATTATGAAACTTATACACAATGCTTAATACCAAACAACACAGATCAAGTTTGAATTTTGGTGGCGTCACTTTAACCGTTCTAGAGTTATGCCCCTTTATAAATGGAAAAATTGCAAAATTGTAGTTTCCGTTCTCTAACTTTAGTTTGTTTCAACCAAATGTTTTAAAACTTATACACAACCGTTCTAGAGTTATGCGTGTTTACAAATAGAAAAATTGCTGAATTTTTAGTTTCTGTTCTCTACTTAAGTTAGCCTCAAACCAAATGTTATGAGACTTACACACAATGCTTATTATCACAAAACTCAGATCAAGTTCAAATTTGGGTAGCGTCACTTTTACTGTTCTTCAGTTATGTCCCTTTATAACTAGATGATATGCAAGCGGGGGCATCATTTGTGTCCGCATGTGGACACTATCCACATTTATTTTTAATTATTATATAATTTCTATTTGCCATTGGACATATAACAAGAGACAACCAATCATTCAGTTGCTTAGATTTTGAGAACATTTAACAATATGTGTTTTTTAGAACAATATATGAGAAATTAGCCAGTGCATTCACAGAGGATAGCCAAGCCTTATATCTACAGATGGTAGATGAAGTCTCACCAAACATTAGATACTGTGCCTACAACATAGGTGACGAGTCGGCCATTGCTGAACTAAAGGAAATGAGACGCAAAGGGGGAGAGGATCAGCTGACATCACATTTAGATGTAAGTTTACAAACACTTGTCTTGATGTTGTTTATTAAGGTATTATTTTGAAGAAAAAAACACACTCATATGACTATCAATTCTGTCAAGAACCCCCAAATACAGATGTACTTAAATTCTGCAACATATTTTTATCTCATATTAAAGGCAATGACAATTTCTTTATAGGAGACTGTGAGAATAAATGGTATGGATGCAATTTAATTTGAAGACATTATGTAAACAAGACACTAAATGATTAGAAACAATTTTATTACCATAGTTTTTCAGAAAATGCAAATTTCAATAAAATTATTGCAAAGTTCCAGAAAAAAACAAAACAAAAAAGGTCTCATGTCTCATATTCATAACACAAAAATATTTGCTTGCATTTTGGATGTCAAATATAATTTAGAACATATTTATGATAAAGGAGTTGCAACATGGTAACAAAGTTTTTATGCCCCACCTAGGGGCATTATGTTTTTTGGTCTGTGCGTCCTTTCGTCCGTCCGTCCATCCATCTGTTCCGCTTCAGGTTAAAGTTTTTGGTCAAGGTAGGTTTTGATGAAGTTGAAGTCCAATCAACTTGAAACTTAGTACACATGTTCCCTATGATATGATCTTTCTAATTTTAATGCTAAAGTTTTGACCCCGATTTCACGGTCCACTGAACATAGAAAATGATAGCGCGAGTGGGGAATCCATGTACTATGGACACATTCTTGTTGATTTTGAAACTGGGAACTGCACAGTTACACTTGAATGGTGAATTTTTATTTTTCATGTACCAGTAAGAATCTTGTTCTAGCCAAAAAAAGTCCCAATGTTCCATATCAGAGTTCCAATATTTAAGACAAACTTTAAATTTTATGTAAATGGTTTAGTTTTAATTTTAAATATCCAACTGTTGTAATCATGGCCTGTCTCGTGTTAAAAAATAATCTTATCAGCAGTTCAATAATATTTTGAAGGCTTAAAACATATTTTCAAGTGCAAAATTTAAACTTAATATCAGGGAAAAAAGTCATTGCAAAAATTTACTTTAATCTTCTGCTCTCTTTAATTGTTCTAATTTTTATGGGAATTAAGATGCAACTTATATAACTTTTAATTTTTTATTTCACAGGACTTGCTTTCACAAACAAGAGAAAAGCAGACAGCAACTTTATCAGAGGTGACATGGTTAGGCCGTTCTGTTCCTGTAAAGAGCGAGTCTGTAAGAGTTTTCCTAATCAATGTACAGGAAAGTACAAAGGAAATAGAATCAACAGATGGAATAGATAGCAAGATTTCTATTTATGAAAGTTTATTGAAGCAGTGTATAGATGCTCAACAAATTCTGAGGGACTCTTTACATGATGATGTTGTATGTATTTTATAGAACAATTTTTACAGGATAATTTTAATGACTGTGGGATGATCCCAGTTTGACATATCCTTTCGATTTATATTCCCATAATGTTTAAATGACAAAAGTAGTTAATGGATTGCTAAAATGAGTTTTTATACAGTGTTTGTTTTGATTCATTTACAAGATGATTAAATCACTTCCTTACTATGGTTCTTAAAATGTTATATTTGGAAAAAAATTGAATCAGGTAACAATTTGACAAACAACTGTTAAATTAACTTGGTAATTGAATATGGTTAATCTCCAAATTACATTTAATTGCATCACATACTTATAGCAGATACATAAGAAAATTATTTATTTATATAATTTTTACTTTTATTTTAGAATTTTAAAGCATCTCAACGAGGACAAGCCATTGAAGGCAAAATATCAAACCAGCACTACCTGCACAGTTATCTAATGTATATACGACTGACAAAAACTGTAGATAGAAATTTATTATTAATAGAAAAACTAAAGCAATATTTACCTGGTAAACCAATACCTGATGGTCATAAAATTACTAAACCACAAGATCTAGTTAGATTGTACGATATTATTATTCAGGTAAGTTTAGAAAATAGGATATGTGTAATAGTGCTGTTTTCAAATTAGAAGTTAACTTTGTTCTTGGGAAGGTCAATTATTCACATTATTCCACATACCTTTGTAATTGTTTTAACATATATACAAATGTCTGAAAAATATACATTACTGGTCAAACTAAAGGAGAGTTTTTTACAAACCACAATGATTGAACGTTTAAAAGTTTGCATTCACACATAGACACACACAAAATTATTAATGTTAAAGAGACCACCATACTCCCAAGACTTACTCAATGTCTATGTGATAAGTTTATCAACAGAATGAATTAAGAATTTATGTTCAGACTATGTAAATTTCCAGTTTGAATTCATGCTTATTTTTTTCTTCAGAATTTAAATGAGATACCTAATTTACAAGGTGTAGAGACAGATTTGAGTGAAGAAACAGCAGTGAAAAGTACTTCTTATAAAGCATTTAGGTAATGCCATACAAGATGTTATCAACATATGGAACATTCAATAATGTTAAGGATTGAAAAAGTAAAGCTTATAAGCTTTTAACACAAATTAAAGTGTAATAATGGAAAGATACTGCTAACTCTTAATAACTTATGTATTATTCATATAGGTGTTTTAGTATATGATCATGATGATCCACCATCTAGACATTCAATTTTATTAGACCCCACTCTAAAGGAGGGGTATACTGGTTTTGTTTACCTCTGTCCATGTGTCTGTCTGTCATTTACACATATATGTCACATTTTTCTCCACAGCTACAATTCGAAGTGTCTTGATAGAAAGCACTAAGCCTCTTCTAGGTTGGCATACTGAGTGACACATTTTCAGTTTCTTTGTTGTTCCTGTTTGCCCAAAACTTGTGTCTTTAAAATGTCATGCACAAATGTGAAAATTTTAACACTTTCTCCGCAACTTCAAGTAGTACCTTCTTGATGTATGGCTTCAAAGCTCCATCTCATATCGCCTATGCCATAACCATTTGGAACAGTGACTTGTTGTTCTGGAGTATAACACTTTAATAATATAAAAATTTGACAATAAAAGAGTGGGTCTAATGATAACCCAAGTTTTGTTTAGAACAAATCTTTATGAATTATTAAGTTTAACGTATACTCCATCTAATTTTATGATATAAGAAATTTTCATTTTAGAGTTATGAACTTTATTGATCAAAATGTAAGGAATTATTTGGGTGTCTTTTGAAAAAAAATCCAGTTTTCCCATTACAATTTTGCAAACAATGAAACTACCTATTTTTCAACTTTTTACAGTTTCAATGTTGTTCCTCCAGAGTTATCATTGTTGTTGTTCAAGAGTTATGGGACTTTCATGGTAGAAATAAGGTGACCTGCATATGCCCTAATGGTGGAGGTCTTAATTATTATGAAAACTTGATCCCTAAAAAATAGACAGTAACTTGTACATCAGATTTTATTGTTTTTGTTATATCACAATTTTTAAAGAGCTACTTAATTCATCTCAAGCACTTCAGTCAACCTTACACTTTATAAAAAATCTTTTAGTGTAAAACCAGTAAATATGTAACAATCCAACAAATATGACACAGGCCCTTAATAGACCATCGCTATATTTTTCAGGTCCTATTACATTGCACAGTCTTTCCTAGCAGCAAAGAAATGGACAGAAACAATAGCATTATATGAGAGAGTTTTAGGTTATGCTTCTCAAGCATTAAAAGGTTGTAAAAAACTGAAAAATCTCTCTAAACAGGTTAGTAGACATACATTACCACTGAGGGTTTTGAACATTTTTATTTGCAATAACTTAAAAAATGAATGCAGTTTTAATTGAAAAAAATGTAACAGATTGAACATCACAATGATAAAACTTGCTTTAATTTCTGCTGGTAAGTTAAGTTTTCTTGGTATTTAGAATCATTGCAAGGTGTATGTCTCTGTCTGACAGGGTTTATCTGACCTTGACCTCATTTTCATGGTTCATTGTTCAATGTTGAGTACTCATGGTTAGTCTACTTTTAAGATACTATATACAATAGGTTAAATGTATTCATTGCAAGATGTATATGGCTGTCTGACAGAGTTCATCTGACCATGACCTCATTTTCATTTCTTTGGTCAATATTAAATTTTTGTAGTTAGGTCTGTTTCTCTAACAATAGTTAAACTAACATTTTTTCCAAGCCTAACCTAACTGGCTTTATTCTGATTAACCTAACAAAATCTTAAAATTTAGACATTGCAAAATTTATGTGATAATTCATTAGATAGGGTCAATGTCTTTGTAAAAGATCAATAGAAGAATCTGTTTACTGATCTATTTCTTACCTTATGAGTGTTTTTCTAGGATATTATGACCAGAATTGCTCAGAAATAACATTAACTGATTTAATACTTGGTAGTTAACATTAATAATTTCCATTTCAGTTCATACTCTGTAGTAAGATGTATCTATTGAAATGTTATGTTTTAATTTTTTCTAGGAAATATGTAGTATAGAAGAATTAGTAAACAGAGTGAATGGTGAAAAATATTCTTGTCATGCTAACAGCATTCTGGATTTAGAAACTGTTGCTGAACCGGTAGCAGATATTAGTCTCATTAAGAAAAAAGTAAGCATTCTAGTAAGGGAATTCACAGGTGATTTTCAAAATAACAAGGTCCAAGATGATTGTTATATAAAAAGAAATTCCTTTAATAATAAATAATATTAAGCCAGAAAAAAATACATTTTAATGCACTTGTTTTTAAGATTTAAAAATGTAGGCATTTAAAAATTTGGCTGGAGACAGTAGTTCTTTTAATTTTGATACATATTTTGTACAGAGATTTTTTTTCTCTGTTAAGGTAGCACTACAGTCTAACAATTATTTTTTGAAGATATTTTTTTTATCACATAATTTGGAATTAAGTATTATTCTGCACAGTTTGTAAAAATCCCAAAGTCATTATCATATCACAACAGGGAGTAAATTGATAATGAACTTATGTAAATAAAAGCACATGGTAATTAATCTAAATATATAGGCATTTGGGAGGGGCTAATATGTCAATCATCTGTTGATACCAGTGTCCAGCTGTTAATCCCTGACCACAAGATAAATATTGTGGTCTTATCTCATTGTATTGCAACAAAAGTAATTAATATAACATGTTTATAAACAGAGAAAAAGAAAAAGATATGAAGGAAAAAATCTAAAGGGAAGTAAACTACAAAAAAATGAAAAAAAATATGGAAAAGAATGTGAAAGTATCTTTGAAAGCCTCTGACTGCCTGTATAAATTTCTTCTATTTGGTTTTCTACATTTAAATACAGTTTTAGGCATTTTAACCAATTTTAAGTTTATGTGAAATTTTTCAATTCCATAAAACTCAAAAATCATGTGGGAGTGTCTTTTTTTAAAGAAGTGGATGGTCTTGGATCTTTTTATTAACATGTCTTTTGATGCACAATTTTAATGTTCTAGCTTAAATTTCAGTAATAGTATATTTCTTTTTAAAATACAAATGAAATTTATTCTTTATAGTGAGAATAATGATGTAAAATATTGATAATATGCAGCTGATCAATCCTGTTATTCTCTTATCTTAGACTGTCTGGACAGAGGCGGAGCTTTGTCTATATTTAATTACTACATCACAGATATTGGTCAAATCTGTGACGTCAAACTCCCGCCAAATGCCAAGTTAAGTGTTGCACAGTGCCACACATAATGCAAAATTTACAGCATAAGAGCATCAAAGAGACAAAGTGTGTGGTTCTATTGATAAAGTAATGGTGTCAGAATACTCCTGGGGTGTTCCCAGTGGAATTTTTGTATTTATGTTGCATTTATAGGGGTTCTAAGGGGGAAATTCCGTTTTTAGGTCATTTCTCAGAACAATTTTTCATGAGATTTGTTAGGAAAAAAATGAAAATATAAACTTTATGGGTACCCCCTTTGGCTTGACTTTGATATATGTGATTAAAGGGAGTATTTTCTACAATACCGTGTCCCAGTTTTTGGATGATTTGTTTCTAAATGAATTTATAGGTCTCCAAAGATGAAAGGTGAAATGAGTTTGGCACCCAGCAGTTAAATCAATATATCTTCTTACTGGAGGCATATATCAAAAATCTGAGACACGGTTTTGCAGTTTGTATATGGTTGATTAAAGGGATGAAAACTAATTTTTACTACCATTTGAAGTGAATGTGCCATTTCCATCCAAGTTGGAAGACCACTTTTTTGTCAATTAATGAGCTATATTTTGAGATTTATCATACCAAAAATAAATTTATCTATGGATTAAGAAAGAGTAATATTTCAGCTTTAAAATGAGTTAAAGATTTTAAAAATCCATTGAGTAGTTTTGGAGAAATTAATCTTTAAAGACTGTTGGTTGGAGTCAGAAAATTCTGACTGTAGTGCTACCTTAACATCGTTTTTTTAAGAATAATTGAGGATATAACCACATTTTTGCAGGGATGTAGTTAGTTGTATTTTGATAATGAAATTAGAAAAATAACAGTGGGGGGGGGGTTACTGGGCATAATGTTCTAATGCTATCAAATAAAATAAGCCAGATGAGCTCGAAATGATGAAAACAAGATGGCCATCATGACCAGCAAACTTTCCTTAAGTAAACTCATTTGTAACAAGCTTTGTCTTGAATGTGAAGGAGTTTTTATACGACCGCAAAAACATCGTCGGCGTCATCGTCCGAGGACATTTGGTTTCCGGACAATAACTTTAGTTTAAGTGTATGGATCTCTATGAAATTTAACCAGAAGGTTATTTATTATAATATTATTTGTTTTGGAAGGGGGAGGGGGGTAAATTTTTTTTCCCTCAAGATTTAAGAAATTGTCAATTTTTCAAAGAAAAATTGGGGGTCACAATTTATTTTGCTAATTCTTTGTTTATAGTCTGAAAACAAATTTACTAAGTATTGGGAAACCGCACAGTGTATTGCACAACAGCAAGAAATCTTCAATTGAATATAAATTCAAATTATATAACCAATTTCAAGTTCTTTGACTACATTTATTCTGTGTCAGAAACCTATAATGTGTCAAATATTTAATTACAATCCAAATTCAGACCTGTATTAAGCTTGAATATTGTGTCCATTTTTGACCCAACTGTTGAGGGTTGGACCTCTGCGGTGGTATCCAGCTGCGCTCGGCGAAGCAGTTTATTGTATTTTCTGGCACTTTATCCTTAATGGAAGTGATGAGGTTCATAACCATGACTTACCATTCTGTTTAAAGTGATTAAAATCAAATTGTCAGTATATGTTATTAGTTTTTTTAAGCATTTATTTATTTCTATATATCCTTTCAGCCACTGATAGAACGGTTTGATGATTATATTGAAGATAAAAGTGTCACAACAAAGAAACCAAATCTTGTCAGTTTCCCACCAGACTTCGAACCTATACCATGTCGACCATTATTCTTTGATTTAGCACTGAATCATGTAGAATTCCCTTCAATAGAAGGCAAAATGGAACAGAAGAAATCAGGAGGAATTACTGGAATGGTTAAAGGATGGTTATGGGGAGGTGGTAAAAAATAATGATTTGTGTACCCAGGGAAGTAACTCTGTTCGATTTATAAAATTCCTGGTAAAGAACCTGGAAATGTTGGACAATGTTTGTAAAGATAACAATGCAAAGAATAATAATATAAGTATTGGTGCAATGAATGTAAAGATTATTATTATAGTGCAAGATTATGGTATGTGGTGCAAAGCCTTCCAACAGTTATTTCACATTATGTAAGAGAATTGCTTCTTTCTTCTTCAGTAATAAATGTTTCTGATAATTTAATTGAAGGATTTTTACCCAAATCAATTATTAAATGATTAATCTCTTGCATTTTGCCAAATTTTACAAAACCATGATAAGAGAAATTGAAACAATTTATAGTTCAATAAATAAAAATGATAATTATGTATTTTTTAAGTTTTTTCTGATAATGAAAAAAATAAATCAATGAATGGAGGGCAAAAGAAACGTCTGGCTGAAATTAGAACTAATTTTAATCATAAGTTTAATGCCAACAGCTGCATTTTAAAGGTCATACTTAACAGTTTAAGAATAAATTATGATATTTGAATAAATGTTTGAAAACATTTAATAAAAAAAACTATTGGTATTGGCTATTTCCTTTGTCTTAAATATATATCTGCAAAAAAAAAAAAAACGACTTGTCTCCCTTTGATTGTGTCTGTAAACATCATGTGAGACACAGCATCAGCTGATTCCAAGTGAGAAACATCACTTTGTGTTGTAAAAAGGTTGAAGACCAGATTGGCAGATTTCATTTCTTGTACTAATTCCCAAGGATGAGGCCTAGAGAGAAGAATGGTGAAAAAATTAAATTGAAGAAGTGATGTTTTTTAAACCAAGCATATGCACAGAGATTGCTTCATTCATATCATTATCACTTCCTTTAGAGCTTGGGCTTTGGGCCTGTTGAGCTGTATCTTATGATGTTGAATAAACAAAAGAAAAAACTGTCACAGATTTTAAAATGCTTCATTGAAGTTATTACCAACAGACTATAATCTCCTTGTTTTAATATGCCGTATATCGTTTTTTTTTTTTCGTGTGTGGTTAATTTTCGCTTTGTTCGCGGCACCTAAAGAAACGCAAAAATTTGACCGCGCATAAATTTCCCTGCATATTCCAAGATTTATGGTTGTTTGAAAGACTGTTAATTATCGAGTCTTTTGTGTTGTTCGACAGATCACAAGAATATGCAAACTTAATTAAGATCTCTGTTTTCATAATAATTAATTGGCTAACCATACATGTCACACCATTTGACAACACAGCAATCAGTGATATGTTAAAAATGTTAATTAGCAAAGTTCTATTGATTGGTGTCATTACCCCAACATTTTGCATGTACCGGTAATGTAAAAATAAAATAAATCACATTTACAAGGATATGTGTATACCAGTAATGATCAAAACCTTCAACTTTTATCATACTCCAATGTAAACATTTTACGTTCCTTGAAAGTGTATTTTCATTTGTAGTACTCATATTTATTTGATATAGATTAACTGTTAAATGATTTAGTTTATGTTGTTTACAACTTTAACAATACTATACAGTTATTTTTTCACGTGTATTTTCCCATTCAGCGAAAATTATACACTGTGAAAATTTAACCTGCCCAATATGTCATCAAATCGCAAAAAAAAAAACGATATACGGTAAGAGGAGTTTTTGAAAAATTTTCATCTTTCTTATTATTAATAAATTTCTGGGCATTGATGGTAAGATAACAACTTTTTCTGATCTGTTAGCAACAGAAAATTATTTGCAATATTGTTGATGTGAACTGAATTAAATAGACCTTTTTAAAATTATTTAAATAGTGATGTTTTTCCAACAAAATTTTTTATTAATATTTAAACACTTTTTAGATCTTCTTGTTAATGTTCTGTTTGCATTATTTCCAGAATTTTGAAGTTTTGACTTAAATTTACAAAAAGAATCTGAAAAGTACATGTATTAGTTAATATGTTACAGCATATTTACTTGATCTTTGTACATTTAATGGTTATACAATCAATCTTTTGTTACATTGTAATGGATGTATGAGATATATGTATGTATATACATGTACACCAAAAGAAAAAAAATATTCATTGCAAGTTTAGGCCAGAATAGTTTTCAATTTGAAGCTATTTCTATGTAAAAATACTTTCAAGTTACAGAGACAAGTAAATCATATTATCTAGTTTTTTTATACGACCGCAAAAATTAAAAATTTTTTGGTCGTATATTGGTATGACGTTGGCGTCGTCGTTGTCGTCCGAAGACACATTGGTTTTCGCACTCTAACTTTAGTTTAAGTGAATGGATCTCCGTGAAATTTTACCATAAGGTTCAATACCACAAAAGGAAGGTTGGGATTGATTTTGGGGGTTATGGTACCAACAGTTAAGGAATTAGGGGCCAAAAAGGGGCCAAAAATAAGCATTTTTGTAACTTCCAGACATAACTTGTGTGTTAGTGTATGGATCTCTCTGACATTGTACCACAAGGTTCCATATCACAAAGGGAATGCTGGGATTGATTTTGGGGGTAATTGCCTCAAAATTTTAGGAATTAAGGGCCAAAAAAGGGGCAAAAAACAAGCATTTTTCTAGTTTCATGATAATAACTTGTGTGTAAGTGTATGGATCTTTCTGAAATTGAACTACAAGGTTCCATATCACAAAGGGAAAGCTGGAATTGAGTTTGGGGGTAATTGCCCAAAACGTTTAGGAATAAGGGGCCAAAAAGGGGCCAAAAATAGCATTTTTCTAGTTTCCAGACAATTACTTGTGTTCAAGTGTATGGATCTCTCTGAAATTGTACTGCAAGGTACCATACCACAAAGGGAAGGCTGGGATTGATTTTGGGGGTAATTGCCTCAAAATTTTAGGAATTAGGGGCCAAAAAGGGGAAAAAAACAAGCATTTTTCTAGTTTCAGGACAATAACTTGTGTTCAAGTGTATGGATCTCTCTGAAATTGTACTGCAAGGTACCATACCACAAAGGGAAGGCTGGGATTGAGTTTGGGGGTGATGAATCATAAGGGGTTTCAAAAAATTTGGGGGGGGGGATTTTTTTTTTTTTCCTTTTTTTTTCTTTTAAAATTTTCCATTTTAAGTTGGTTATTTCTAATTTATATTTAAAAGCAAATAATAATGATATGGTAGGAGATACACACCAAACAGGATGTGTAAATTATTATGTAATAAGTATTGTGCAATAGCAAGAAATTTTCAATTGCACAGTATTGCACAATAGCAAGAAATCTTCCATTGCACAGTATTGCGCAATAGCAAGAAATCTTCAATTGCACAGTATTACGCAATAGCACAATATTGCGCAATAGCAAGAAATTGTCAATTGTACAGTATTGCGCAATAGCAAGAAATATTCAATTGCACAGTATTGTGCAAAAGAAGATACTTCGTATAAATTGCTTATTTCTTGACCAATTTCAATGGGGTTTTATTCTTGAATTCTTGGGGTTCTTTGATATGCTGAATCTAACCGTGTATTAAGTTTTGGATTTGGGGCCCCGTTTTTAAATTGGTCCACATTGAGGTCCAAAGGGTCCAAAATTAAACTTTGTTTGATTTCATCAAAAATTGAATTATTGGGGTTCTTTGATATGCCAAATCTAACCGTGTATTTAGATTCTTAATTTTTGGTTCCGTTTTCAAATTGGTCTACATTAAGGTCCAAAGGGTCCAAAATTAAACTTAGTTTGATTTTAACAAAAATTGAATTCATAGGGTTCTTTGATATGCTGAATCTAAACATGTATTTAGATTTTTGATTATGGGCCCAGTTTTCAAGTTGGTCCAAATCGGGGTCCAAAATTAAACTTTGTTTGATTTCAACAAAAATTGAATATATGGGGTTCTTTGATATGCTGAATCTAACCATGTATTTAGATTTTTGATTTTTGGGCCCCGTTATCAACTTTGTCCACATTGAGGTCAAAAGGGTCCTAAATTAAACTTTGTTTGATTTCATCAAAAATTGAATTCTTGGGGTTCTTTGATATGCTAAATCTAACCATGTATTTAGATTTTGGATATTGGACCATAATAGGTGAATGTCCAATTTAAAATTTTTAAGTTCTTAGACCACATTCATTCTGTGTCAGTAACCTATGCTGTTTCAAATATTTAATCACAATCCAAATTCAGAGCTGTATCAAGCTTGAATGTTGTGTCCATACTTGCTCCAACTGTTCAGGGTTCGACCTCTGCGGTCGTATCAAGCTGCCCCCTGCGGAGCATTTTATTGTTTTATATATTATTATACCCCACTCTAGGATTGGGGACTGTATTTCATTCACACTTTTATCAGAAATGCATAACAGATTGACCTCATATTTAGTCAGTAGCTTGAACCTTATGACTTGGAAGATTTGAGCACTTTTTGGGATCTGTCAGACACCTATTGCCTGTTTTTTGCTACTTTGAATTATGACTTGGGGTATCTTTGCAACTTCTTGTTCTGTAATATACACTAAGACTTTGACCTTACCTATACATTTTTACATATTTTTCATTTATTGCTTTTGGGGGAAGGGGTGGGGTCATGTTCCAAAAATTATTTTTGTTGATTAACATTAAAAATTGTATATACAATTTACAAATCTATATGATTAAATTCAAGCACTTTTCGTTAAATATGCAAAGGATGGTGTCTAAAACCAAGTAATTTATGCAGAGAATATGACATGAAACAAGTTGACTAGACAAAATTGTTTTTTCTTTAAAATGAGGTTAATTTATTGTTATTTTCTTTATTATGTACAGCTTTCCCATTTTCTACAATATGAGAAAGTTCAATGAAAGAAAAATATCATGAACCATTGAATAATATCTGAGAACTTTCAACTATACTTTTAATGATCAGTTATTCTTTTTAAGCCAAACTATATATTTATTTATTCCCCCATTGATGACTTAATTGAAGTATGATCACTTGAATTAGATTTTTCCAAAATTAGATTTTTTTAATATTGTATTTTAACAATTTGGCAGCAATTTGGGGGCATTTGTGTCATCTCAACACATCAACTGTAGTTTTAATATCATTTGTCATAAAACTTGATGATTTCAGTAAAAAAGCAATATCTAAAGTATGATTTGTTATACATGTGTATATAAATGAAGAATGAGGAAATCATTGCAGTATCTAAATATGTTGTATGTTGTAAATCTTTGTACATGTTGAATTATTTTGAAGTCTTATAATGAAATATTAAATATACAGAACTTTGAGTGATATTATGTTTTGTCTAGCCTGCGACTTTTGATCCGGCAGAGTTAGCTTACTTCTTAAAAGCTTTGTATTTTAGAAGGTGGAAGACCTGGATGCTTCATACTTTGTATATAGATGCCTTAAGCTTATGTTATGAAGTTTTTGTCTGTCACATGTCCATTGTCCATGACCTCATTTTCATGGTTCAGTGACTACTTGAAAAAGAAGTTAATATTTTTTGTAATGTTAATTTCTCTCTTATAATGAGTAATAGGATACCTATATTTGGTATGTGCGTACCTTGCAAGGTCCTCATGCCCGTCAGACAGTTTTCACTTGACCTCGACCTCATTTCATGGATCAGTGAACAGGGTTAAGTTTTGGTGGTCAAGTCCATATCTCAGATACTAGAAGCAATAGGTCTAGCTTATTCGGTGTATAGAAGGACTGTAAGGTGTACATGTCCAACTGGCAGGTGTCATCTGACCTTGACCTCATTTTCATGGTTCAGTGGTTATAGTTAAGTTTTTGTGTTTTGGTCTGTTTTTCTATTACTATAAGCAATAGGTCAACTATATTTGTTGTATGGAAGGATTGCAAGCTGTACATGTCTGCCTGGCATGGTTCATCTGACCTTGACCTCATTTTCATGGTTCATTAGTCAATGTTTAGTTTTCTTGGTTAAGTCTGTATCTTAGAAACTATAAGCAATAGGTCAACTATATTGTGTATTGAATGATTGTAAGGTGTACATGTATTTCTTGTTTGGTTTATATGACCTTGACCTCATTTTCTTGGATCATGTAAAGTTTATGTGATAGTTGTAGTAAAGCGTTATATTTAGAACTAACAAAATAATATCAATGATTAGTAAAGAAGGCGAGACATTTCAGCGTGTGCACTCTTGTCTTGGATTATGTTAAGTTTATGTGATAGTTGTAGTAAAGCTTTATATTTAGAACTATCAACATAATATCAATGATTAGTAAAGAAGGCGAGACATTTCAGTGTGTGCACTCTTGCTTAATTTTCTCCCAGTTTATTTTTTTTGCAGTACATTTCCTTAATGGTGAACTCCTTGAGGTATCACTTCAAATGATGATCTGTAATAGCAAACTACTATTTGTTACACCCTGAGGGTAGATTCTCTGGAATGGTGAAACTATTTGTTCAGTAGGATATTACTTTATTCCCTCATGTTACTGATCGTCACGATTTTTGTTTACTATTAAAAACTGTGACAATAACCCATTAGGTTATGTCCCAAATAGATTGTTCACAAATAACATAATTTGAATCTGAGCTATTTCCCTTTACTCCATATTAAGAGGGAAAACTGGTTGATTTACTTATCTCACTACGAGCAAGTCTAATAAGAGATCCTTACTAGACCGTAGTGATGAATTATGCAGGCTTAAACAAATTAAAATTATTCAGATAACTACTTTTACCAAAGTCTAGAGGTCAGTATAACAAGTGAACTTGGTTGGTTTATAAAGGAATTTGTGCACATTGACCTCCAACATAGCAGCAAAGGAAAATAACCCTCACTCAAATTACACCAATGGAAAACTTGTCTATTCAACATGTTCTATTACGGATATAAACATGGAAATCTGGTTTTCAAATGATGTTCATTAGAGTGTTTTTTTAAGCTGTTCAGTGTACCCTTGATATCTTGCATGCTGTTACATCAGTATCTATGCATTTATTTTACACATTATTGCATTGTAAAGTAGTCTGTGTCCCTAATTGGCCAATTGCCAGAATAGATTATCAAATGATGACTTGAAAATAAATGAATAAACAAGCAAAAATGTACCACTGGACTTAGCAAAAATTAATTTGTATAATACCCAATACATGCAACATCCTAATTTTGAGCTTTGTCATTTTATAGATGTTAATAGGGCAATTATAGATCCTATGAAAGTCAGTACAGAGGTAATAATAATACTTGTTACTCCCAGAGATTGATTTTTTTGTAATGCTGAAACTGTCAGTTCTGGATGGTTCACTAAAACTGTGTCATTTGTTATTGTGAAGTGCAACTATCCTCCTTAAGCCAAACACTAACACAGGATGTTGTGAATTGATATTAGTTACTCCCTAGTGTGTATTACTTCTAATCCAGAAGACAATGCACTAACAACCCAAATCCAAAACAGGGACAGGTCCACAGACAAACAGCAAACACAAACTAGACTGCACAAGCTGAATTATCTGTTTTGCTGATTATGATTGAATTTTATATTGAGAGTCTTTAATATCAAGGTGTTACTGAAGGTATATCAGAAACTTAACATTATCAATGATACATAAAAATGAGGTCAAGGTCAGATGAACATGTGTAAGCGTACTTTAATTCCAGCTGTAGAATCTCCAGTGCATGTAATGCATTAATGTATTCCTTCTTTACACTTGTTCGTCAGAAATGAAACTCTAGGGAAAAAATTGTTTGGGAATTTTACACTATTGTATTTCCACCAAATGGAAAGCATACGATGCCAG